CTTCTGTTCTCATGGCTATGGCCTGGTTCACTTGCTGGCCTGGGGTCTGGTGTTCAGTGGCTATGCCGAGCTGGATAAAGCCTTTCAGCTCCATGTCCTCCTCACTAGAGCAGGGCTACTAAATCTGGGGAAGGTGGAGGTGGATGCTATAGCGGAGTAGGCAGTGGGATCAGGGCAGGAGTCCAGGCGGGCAGGGAGACGGGCCACGCCCAGTAGCATACAGGTGACCGGTGCCATACCACACCTTCCAGGAGCCAGGAGGCTCAACAGCCCACCCACACACACCCCTGCCCCCAGCCTCCTAAGGAAAAAGATCAGTCAGCAGCTAAAGCTTTGTACTCCTTAATCAGGCTCAGGGGCTCAGGGCATGCTCCTGTCTCTGCCCAGAATCCTTCATTAGCTGCCCATTAGTGTGCATGACTTAGAAATTGGCCACTAGGCTGTAAAATTCCATGATCTCTTAATTCTTTGGGGCTTTGATATCCACTTCCTTGCCGGCCTCCAAGGCTGTGTGACCTTTCCCAAGCTGTGGAGGGGGCACCCTGGGGAGCTCCATCTGCAGCCAGGGGAGGGTGGGCGGCACTGAGCAGAAGATAGGCAAGGAGGTGAGCATAGGCACCCTGGGGATCCTGCAGGTGGGGGCTGGCAGGGCACTGTTCTGGAGCATCCATGCCTTCTCCCTTCATTCTCCTGCTGGCTGCACACCTGTCCATCAGGGACTTCCTTCCCCCATAGTGCATGACAAGGGCTCTCATCAGATACCTAAAGTTCTGGACCATGTGGGGCAGCTGGTGGGCATGGCCATCTTACTGGTACTGGGTCTCTGGCTTGACCACCTGTGAAAGCAGTGCTTCCTGTCTGGAGTCATTCATGACAAGCAAGAAAGAGAATATTGTCAGCAGTTAGTGCTGAAGCAGGAGCGCAGGTCACGTGACACTGCCTAGGGGTTTTCTTTTTAACCTCAGCCCCAAAGGGAACTTCTAGAAGCTGCCAGTGCCAGTCCATCAGCACCCCAGGCTACAATGGTTTGACACAGGACTCCTAACAGCTGCCCAAGAAAGCCTGATGTGCTGCAAAGGGGGAATGCCACCATGCTGAGTGGGTGGGGCCTCCTGGGGCCCCACAGCCTGCAGAGGCAGCCCAGTGAATGCTGGTACAGAGCTAGGGCTCAGCATCCGTGACAGGCCCCCGGAGGCCCCTTAGGTAAACACATGACACCTTAGGGGTCTGGAAAGAGGTGTGGCTGGCTGATGAGGGCTCAGAAACGGCTCCATCCTAACCCTCAGTCCTTATGACGTGACCGCACATGGCAGGAGGGTTCCACGGATGAAATGAAGACCCTTGAGATGGAGAGGTGAGCCTGGAGCAGTCAAGTGATGTAACCACTGCAGGGGACTCTCATGGAGGGCAGGCCTACTGAAATTCACTTAGATGGGGCCTCAGGTCCCTCGTCTGAGATCCTAGCTACTCACTTCCTGCAGGGGCAGAGGTGAGGCGGGGAGGGCCGACTGGGGTGACTTTGGGGCTCAGCACCTATGCTGGAGTAGGCGTTTTAGAGTCACCTACGCTCCTGCAACAAACCCCAATGAGCTCACTGGTTCAACAAGCCCTTGGTGTCCTAGTCAGGGTACACAGGCGGTTTTGTGTCTCTTTATCAACAATCTTGCAACAGGTGTCCTTGTAAGAGTGCAGGAGTGGTCAGAGGTCAGTAAGAATTGAAGGGCCAGGAGTGGTGAGCTTGGGAGATAAGGACAGGCCAAGATGTGTAGTAATCCCTGGAGGTGAGAGAGGCAGGAGACCGTCCTCTAGGAGCATTCCTGGTATCCCTGCCACTCGACCAAATGAGACCACTTGGGAGCTTCCAATCTCCGGAGCCAACATTAGGGAACAAATAGTTGTTTGCAGGCACCCAACCAGCTCATTTGCCACCCTGATCCTTGAGAAACCTGAGAGCAGAGGCCTCAGACTCCTGGGCAAGGGCTGGGTCTGTGGATACAATCCTCCTGGGTCCTCTTGTCTCCTCCCCTGATAACAGGGCTGCTTCTGCAGGTATAATCAAGAGTCCTGTCTCAAAGGGGGGAGAAGAGATTGGACTCTGGAGGTGCAAGAAAGTCTTAGAACTCACTTCCAGGTTTACCTCCGTCTTGCCAACCGTGTGTCCAGGAAGAAACGGGAAGGCTGGGCAACCAAGAGACCTGGGGCAGGGTACAGCTGGGGCAGGGCATAGGGTATAGAACTGGAGCCTTTGCCAAGCCCACAGCCTGTGTCCACCACAGCCTGATCACAGACCAATGCTACTCCTCAGGTCTGTAGGACCAGAGATCCTTTCCCAGTGCCCCAGCTAGATGCTTCCCGGGGCTGGCCCAGTCACAAGATCCCCTGGGGAGGTAGGTGTGAGCCTGCGAGAGGAAGGGAGGCAGAATTAACATAACTCACGCTGAGTGCACCTCAGGGGCTTAGGGACATTCCTAGCACTCTGCAACCATTACCGATAATCACCTCTCCTCGACCCAGTCCCTTTCTCCCCCAGCCCTGGCAACACTAATCTGCTTGGTCTCCATGGATTTGTCCGTTCTGGCCATTTCATGCCAAGGCAGTCACAGGCGATGGCGCTTTTCGTATCTGTCTTTTCTCACTATGTGTGTTTAAGGTTTATCACGAGGTAGCATGAGGCAGAGTGTCCTTCAAGGCTAGTCTGCCATCTACAGAGACTCTGCCTCTTGGCTGTAGTAGAACTATGCACATCTCCTATAGCTTTGATTCAGCCGCTTCTGAGCACCTCTAGGAATGGAGCTGCAGGGTCTCACTGTCACTACTGCCTCAGACCCTTCCAGGTGGATTAGTACACCGGGGGCAAGACCCTGGAACTTGAGTTTCCAGGCCACTCCTCTGTGCCTTCTAGGCACCAGTGAAAGAAACCAACCTTCTACTAGTATGCACTAAGGGGGTTATTTGAGGGGTAAAAATTAGGAACTTCTTTGGAAACTCTTACTTAATCCACACAGGGAAAATGGACAACCTCCTGCAATGTGTGGCTCAGCAGACTAAAGGCCTCATCTCCCTCACCTCAGTGGGCTTCCTTGCTCAGGCCAACCCAGCCCAACCTGAGGACAGCAAAATACTGCAGGCTGTAAGCAGCCTCGGCAGGCTGTCCACTTTAACTGGTGCCCAGGGGTGAAGGCTTGGCAGGTCCTATGCAGCTGATGTGGACCAGGGTCAGCTTTCGGAGGTACCCAAGCTCTCGTTTTTGCATGGGCCCAGTACGGACAAACGTGAACGTGTAAAGCCCTGGATATGGGCATCCCACACACAGAGAACAAGCATGGGTTCTAAAAACACTCTGGAGCTGGAAGGGCTGGGCTTGAGGTATTAAAACGCCTAGAGACCCAGCAAGGGAGCCAGTGTTGGGAACAGTCTACAAGGTGAAGTTTGCCCACGACCAGCAACCTGGTTGGTTCTGTGGCAAGCTTGCTGGCAACAGCTATGCACAGGCAGGAGCAGGTCCATCCCACAGCCACATGCTGTCATCGGAGCTGTGCTAGGCCCATGCCCTCAGCAGCTCCCCTTCACGTCAGTGTGTAGGAGGTGACACTGGCCCGGTTTCACACATGAACCAAAGCCCAGAGACCTTACCTGAAGTCATGACAAGCGGCAGAGATGGGATCTGAACAGGAGGATTTTATATTTCACACTTCAGGCTCGTCACCTTGAAACCTATACTGCCTAAGATGGGGCCGGATTGCCTGGGCCTACCTGCTCTGCTGCCTCAGTCCTGGCCCTTCTCTTTCCTGTGCTCTGTGGAATACTCATCCCAGAGGTCCTCTGAGCTGAGGGATGATTAGTGAGTCCATACCCTTGAGAGTGACAAGAGGCCCCACATTAACCACTTTTCCTTGGGCAAGCAGGAGTTACATGCAGACACAGGGTCCACTGTGTGCTGGTAGAGCTAGGGCTGCTTGTGACATCGTGAAGTATCTCAAACAGGGATCCAGCACTTCATGGGCCTTAGTAATACCTCCCAGACCCAACAGCAGCCATGAGAGCAGCTACGGTTAGGAGTGACTCGCAGATACCCAGGTAGTCCTGCTCTTCTCTCCCCAGACTTCCTTCTGCCCACAACCCACAGCAGCCCTGGTCACAGCCACAGGTCTCCAGGCAGCTGCCCTCAGCCATGGTGTACAGGGATCCCATGGGAAGCTGGGACTCAGCATGCTTAAAGAAGCAATTGAAGGAAGAAGCCCAAGTCTGACCAAAATTAACAATGTTCATGCTTTAAAGGACACACCATCAAGAAAGTGAAAGGCCACTTCAAGTCTGATAAGGAACTCCTACCTGGACATGTAAAGAAAGTTCACAAGTCAGTAACCAAGATTCAAAGGACCCATTAAAAACCAAGCACAGCCGGGCGGTGGTGGCGCACGCCTTTAATCCCAGCACTCGGGAGGCAGAGCCAGGCGGATCTCTGTGAGTTCGAGGCCAGCCTGGTCTCCAAAGCGAGTTCCAGGAAAGGCGCAAAACTACACAGAGAAACCCTGTCTCGAAAAACCAAAAAAAAAAAAAAAAAAAAAAAACCAAGCACAGGCTAGAAACAGCATTTCTCCAAGGAAGATGTGTAAATGGCCATTCCAGCTTAGTCTCCAGGAATACACAGAGAAACCACAGGGATGCTACTGCAGCACTGTGACCAAAACAGTAGAGATAAGCACGGGCCAGGGCACAAAGAAGACAGGATTCACACCTCCGGCAAATGTGTCAAATACTGCACTGCTTTGGAAAATTGGACAGTTTCTCCAAAAGCATGATGGCATCACTCCTAGGAAGACTCCCAAGAGAAATACAAACATGCTCACTCACCAGCACATGAATGACACCATCCGTAGCAACTGGCAAGTGGTCTAGCCACAGCAGAGTAGTATTCAGCCATGAAAAGGAATGCCCCTGACACCTACACCACGAGTGAAGCTTGAAGACAAGACGCCAACAGAAAGAAAGCAGCAAAGGACCACACGATGTGAATTCATGATAGAAAACACCACAACAGGCAGGTTACAGAAAGCAGGCTAGCTGCAGGACTGGGGGAAGAATACAGGCAACTGCTAACAGGCCTAAGCTTTCTTTGGGAGTGACAGGAATGTTCTGGAGTTAAGAGTCAAACGGCACTGGCCACATTACCTAGTGAGAACACTGGAGCTCACGGGAGCATAGCCCGACATGGACATTTTTTACAGTGTGCGAACCAGCTAAGCCAGACCCCTCTCAGGGTTGACAGTGAGAATGGGAAGGTGGCAGGGGTCTGGTACACAACACGTTCCAGCTTTGTAAGGTTATGCATATTTATTGAAAATTTCCTTCACCAACAATGGTGAAATCAAGACCCCAAATTACAAAACATGATGGCAGTTGATACTTATAAAAATAAAGCAAAGGCCTGCACTTCCTAGATCTGTGCATGTTCCCTTCAGTTCAGTCTGTCCTCTCATCAAAAAGGTCACGGAATCTGACTCCTTAGGATGCCACTGCAGAAAACTGCACTCAACTGACAGACAAAACAACAGGTTTGCTTCCAAATAGCACAAGTCTTTAAAGTGACTCTCCCCACAATAAATATAGAAAATAGCCTGGAACAAGCATGTCTTTGCTTGGTCAGGGTTGTAAGCTTCATGTAGAAAGTGTGTCCCGACAGCCCTTCCAGGCTCTGTGTCTTTGGTGCACTGTCACTGGGCCTGATGCCACAGTAGGCTGAGTTACTGAGCACCTCCTGTCAGAGCCTAGCAGTGAGGTACTTCAGGATGTACCTCAGAGATGCCTGGGAAGAACACACTAACCCAGCCGCAAGCTGGAGATGGGGTTCCTTGGAAAAAGGCACCTCCCAGGATGCTCTTCTGATGCCCTGTGTGGCCATCAGAGTGGTCCAAGGCTTGTTGGCGTCTGTGGCTGGCCACTGTGATGATCACACTGACGGGGTCCTTGGTGGGTGGGTCTGCTGAGCAAGCTGTGGCCGCTTTGCTCTGGGTCTCCTCCGCTTTGGCCGGCTTTTGGCTTTGCTGATCTGTACCACAAAGAAGGCCAGGGCCACCATGGCTCCAAGGAAGGCAAAGACAGGGATGGTCTGGCCCACCTCTTGGTTGTAGCGGCCAGGCATGATCCCTGCAAGAGGACAGTCATTGGTCAATGGTGCCACAAAACTACAGCTACAGCCTTTCTGAGAATCAGTTCATCAGAGACCAAATGCTGACTCTATTAGCTGAGCTGGTAGGGCAGACATCACTTCTGAGCCAGAGTTAAGGAGCCCAGGCTGCTAACCACAGTGTTGGTGAGAGTCACGGAGCTTGTATTTATCAGCTGATCCCAAGCATCCCTATGTGTATGGGGGAGTGGTATCTCAGACTGTTTAGCCTCCTGGCTTGCGGGTGGGCAGGCAGGCATCAATCCTATCACAGCCAGCCTACATCAGCAGGGCCCAGAGTTTCCCAAAGATCAATAGAAGACACACTAGTCTCAATCTAGAGAAGAAGAGGACAGTGCTGGAGTCCTACTAGCTGAGGACAAATAAGCAAGGCAGGGAGGCACTAGAGGCCTGCTGGTCATGTTCCCCAGGGGCAATTCCTCCTGGAAGGGCTATCAGAGAAGCCTCAGACTCAAAGGCAATGATTCTGTAATGAAGCGACGCCAAGGGCTCCAGAGCTGACTATCATCAGCACACCCTAGGACCTCCACTTCAGGATCCCGGCTTCGCCTCATGAAGTTTCCAGTTAGCCTCCAATGGCTGGGGTACCTTTTCCCAGCCAATTCCTGAAATCCAGAGAAACCCTCCCTTGGGAGCTATAAATCCCTGAGGAGGCCACAGGAGTTTCCAGAATAAAGGGACCACACACACTCAGCTGGAGGGACCTGGGACCAACTCTCCCAGCTAAAACATGGGAACCTGGAATAAGAAGTCTGTTCAGGCCAAAGGAACCTGGTACAGCTCAGGCAAGCGACAGTCCAGCTGTCAAGACAGGCTACGGAGGACCCAAGACCCCAGGGGCCAGCATAACAGAGAAACCCCATAGAGAAAAGTTGTTTCCAGGAGCCCACAGTACATACCTGCTTGCAGAACTTCAGCAAAGAGTACCCAGATTACTGTTGGATAACTTAGTGTACCATGTAGCAAACACACTAAAAACTGCCATTTAAAATCTGTACAGAGGAGCTGGAGAGAGGGCTCAGTGGGTAAGTGTACTTGTTGCTCTTCTAGAGGACCTGGGTTCGAAGGCTTCCCAGAACCACATGGTGGCTCACAACCATCAACCTGTAACTCTAGTCTGGAGGATCTGAAGAGGGTGTGTGACTCTCAAGGGCACCAGGCACACTGTGGTACACATACATACATACAGGCAAACACTCACACATAAAAATAAACATGTTTTAATTAAAATGTGTATATAGAACTTTCTAAGAGAAATGGCACCTTCATCTCTAGACCTCTTAGCCTTGCCAGTTTGTACTACAAAGGCAGCCAGGACCACCACAGCTCCAAGAATGCCTAGGAATGCAGGAAGGCCTGGCTCTCCTCCCTAGCGAGGAGAAACACCTGGAAACCCATAGCAGGATCTAGCCCAGAAAGATGCCTTTGAGGACTCACCTCCAGGAATGTCCCAGGCACCACTTTCTCCAGGGGACAAAGGTCTCACTTGAGGGCGATTCGATCGAAAGTTGGGTAACACTACTTTGTCCAGGTCAATGGAGAGCAGCTTCTGATGTTTCCAAAGATTACTTCCGGGAATAGATTAAAACAAAAAAAAAGATAAGTATCTGTCCTCACCTAGACACTTAACTGATACACAACACACCGGAAGCAACACACTGGGCAGCGTGAGACCCTCCACCTTGGATCGCCTGACTGGAACAGAGCAGTCAGAGCAAGTGTCTGCTTCCAGGTCCTGAGAAAGGCAGAATCAGATCCATGCTCTGAGATCAGGGCCTGAGGAAGCGCTCTCCCGGGGACTTATAACACAGCCTCCCAAGCCCTTTTCTGTTCAACACTGGCAACACTGCCAAGCAAGGCAAGAGGACAGTCCACGCTGGAGCTCTGGAAAGAGCAGAGGCTAAGGTGTCATGGAAGGTCTTTTTTCTTTTCTTTTCTTTTTTTTTTTTTTTGAGGCTCCAAGTAACCACAGCTTGCTTTCTGGATGCAAAGCAATGCAGTGGAGGAACTCCACAACAACCACACTCGGGAAATGGTACCAGACGAACCAGCCTGGTGGACTCAGACCAGCAACCGCAGTGAGTATAGGACAGATTTGCAAATAATCAAGAACTGAAGAACAGGTGAGCAGGAAACACCTGCCTGTCTGGGGTGACAACCAACAAAACGTGTGCTGAAACTGTGGGCACTCAGGTGGGAGTAAAGCACTGCTCATCTGTTTCCTCTTCAGGTCTAAGGAACTCGGTTAGGCCAATGCAATTAGAGCTGAAGATCACAGTGGCTGATGCACTCTGAACAGCAATGCGCAGCCTGTTGACGCCTCGGGGAGAGCCAAGGACACTAACAGAAGGAAGGGATCTGAAATGAAGAATTCCTAGTCTTCCTGTGTCAGTCCACCTAAGTTGCTGACCTGTGTCTTCTTTACTGTAGTTGAAGAAAGGCATAGGCAACCAGTCCCAGCGGCAGCAGCCAGGTGGGAAGCTTGTCACTGGAGAGGGGTGGGGATAGACCACCAGTGGCTCCTGGCCGAGCACAGCTTGGCCAGCTCCCACAACTGCAGCCCAGCCTGTTTTGTGTGACTAAACGCTACTGTTCAGGGTCAATCTGTCTGAAAAGTTAACTGACAAAGACATGGGACCCGTGGCGTCGTAAGCTTTCCAAGTGTATTGCTAAGTGGACATTCTAACAGTGTCCTACGTCCTGGAGCTTCCTGGGGGTGGACTGGACTTTCTAGTGGGGCACTGACATAAGAGCACTCATGTTACCACTGGAGTCTCACAGCACACTGATGTGATGGAGGGTCTGCCTTGAGTCAGTGTTCCCACAGTAATGACACCTAAGGACACCTGAAGCCCAGCCAAGACTTGGGAAAAAGCCTCACCTCACAGAGATGGGAACTTGTCCTTAGCATAGCTGATGGCAATCTGCAGCTGTCTAACACAGACACAGAATCTTCTAGAGAGTCAGAATATATCCCGATCTAAGTCTCTGAAGACTGAGAATAACTTCCCTCAAGATGTGACATGTGAGATAAGAGAGCAGCTCAGTGGTGTGGTAAGGAGAGGGATTGCTGAGAGCAAGTCACAATTAAATTCCAGGAGCTGAGCATTATCAGCACCCTGGGTGGACTCAGAGAGGGAGGGATTATCTGATGTGGCCAGCCAGATACCAAGGGTGCTGTTATCTATTCTCAGAGCCTTCAGTGGAAACTGGGGAGAAGAACTGGGCTTCTGGCACTCCAGCTATCACGGCTGCTCCTCAAGCAGGCACTGCGGATCATGTCTAGAATATAAAGTCTGGATTGAATGCTAAGATAACAGAAGGTTCTAAATAAATAAGGATTCAAATATGGAAATATATTACAAGTCTTAAATGATGCAAGGTGAATGAAATGGAAAAGCACTCTTCAATTAAAGGTTCGGGAAGAACACTGCTGCTAAAGGCCAAGTGATATATGTAACTTTCTGTGGGCAAGTGCACACGTGTGCCTGGGCCCCTGGAGCACAGAGGCCAACAGTGGTGCATTCCTCCCTCTCTATTTATTTACGACAAAAGGTCTCTGGGCTTGCTGCTTCAACGAGACTGGCTGGCCAGTGAGCCCCAGACATTCTTCTGTTCCCACTCCTCAGCACTGTGGTTACAGGTGCATGCTGCTGTGCCCAGCTTTTTTCTTTCATTCTTTCTTTCTTTTCTTTTTTTTTAAACATGGGGTTCTAGGGATTCAACTCAGTGTATGGCAAGTACTTTACTAAGCCATCTCCATGGTGTCAACTTTCTTGTTTTCTGTGACAGCTCTTTTAAGACATGGTCCTTGAGCAGAACACTGAGGACCTGCACTTGTGGAGCAGTGAAGTATGCAGGCGATATTAACAGGCCAGGCTGTCTCCTCACAGAATGGGTGGGGATCCTACCCTTGGCTAGGCCACTGAGCAGTGTCCATCACTGAACCAAGCATAGTGGCAGCCACAAAAGGAGAGGAAGGAGGGAGGTGAGAGATTGTTTTAAAGGAAGCCTATGCCAGGAAGGGTTGAGAGAAGCACACACCTGCCCTGCAGGTCTGTGCCAGCTAGCTCTGGGACACCAGGCCCAGTTAACTTTGTTCCATCTTGTCCTGCTTAGGCAAGATGCCAGAGAGGAAGCTGAAGGTGCAAGCTGGTGAGATGGCTCAGCATGGCCTGGCTGGAGAGAAACCAGAGTGGTCACTCAGGGCTGAGAAACTGAAGAGAATGAGGCAGATGAGAATGTCAGGTGAGAGACAGAGGGGCAGAGCCACACAAGGCCACACACGAGTGCAGCACCTCTGGACAAAAGCCACAGCCGACATGGCAGGCACTTCTGGCTGGGCTACCATAGCAGAAGCCACACCTCCCAGAAGCAGCTTCAGTGCTGGCTGCAGGAGAGAGAACCATCTGCACTCTACATACAACGTTTGGACAGGGAGCACAGCTGCGAACGACAGCCCTCGAACCCCCGCTGCAGCCTGAGCTGAGCTTCTGCTCAGGACAGCACTTGGCTGGACCCCAGCTGCCTTCTCAAAGCACTCGACTGCAGGACACCACCCAAGTACGCTTCTAAAGATCAATTTGGGGTTTCTCATTTCCACAACTGTCAGAAAATGACAAGCTAGATTGGATTATTCACAATGATGTCAGTCAGCAAAACTGCATTCTCTCCTATAAAAAAGGAACGGGTCACAGGCCCTGGGGATCAGGAGGAAAGCACAGGCAGACACTGACCTGGGCGCAGTCTCGTTCAAAGGCTGTGGCTTGGCCCATGACAAGTGTGGACAGGCTGGAAGAGGCCGAGGTTTTGGGTCTCCCAAGTGGGCCTCAAGAACCTTGGAGTACCGATGAAGGTGGTTTCCTGAGGTTAGCAGCAGTAAGGACAGAAGAGGTGATCACCATTATAAAAACACAGGAGAGGAAAGGTGGCTTTCTGCCAACGGCTGTATTCTGTCAACTCCCCCACGTGCTTCAAGACCGCACCTGACAGGAAGCCTGATCCCCTTCATCAGGGTCTCACTGGCAGTGAGACTATCAATCACACATACAAGGCCACCAAGGGCAGTGCCACAGAAAAACCTCTCTTCTGGAATACTTAATTCTCTGGCAAAGTAAACAAACCAATTACATTTCTAGGTTTTACATTTCTTTTTTTTTTTTTTTTTTTCCGAGACAGGGTTTCTCTGTGTAGTTTTGGTGCCTGTCCTGGATCTCGCTGTGTAGACCAGGCTGGCCTCAAACTCACAGAGATCCGCCTGCCTCTGCCTCCCGAGTGCTGGGATTAAGGCGTGTGCCACCACCGCCCGGCTGGTTTTACATTTCTTAAATCTGTGCCACCCCACACTGCAGCCACCAGCTAAGCTACACACTGCTACTGGGCAAAGGAAATAGGTGTCACACATCCAAGTAACTTTTAAAGCAGCAGACTGAAATGTATTATTAAAATGAATTCTATCTTTTCTACTTTGTATGTATGTGGAGTATACACACGTGTGTGTGTGGAGACCAGAGAGCAACGTTGGATGTCGTCCTTACTCTATATTACTCTCATGGAGCCTGGAATGCACAGATTCTGCTGGACTGGCTGGCCAGTGTCTTAGCTCACCCGAGCTGGGGTTACAGACGTGCTCTACACACTCAGTGTTTACGAGGCTGCTGAGGGAGGGTCCAAACTGAAGTTCTCATGCTATCTGGCAAACACTGGTGTCAACTGAGCCACCTCCCCAGCCCTCCTTATATTTTAATGTAGCTATTGGGATTTCTTTTTCCTCAGTCTTGGCTTTCTTTATTTTGAGATGGGGTCACTATCAACAGGCCAGTCTGGCCTCCATTTAGTCTCTTCCCATAATCACCTAAGTGCTGGGATTACAGGCATACACCACCATGGCTGGCTGCTACTATACAATTCTAAACGACATCTGTGGCTCACATTCTTCTGCGGACAGCACTGGAGGGAGGGGACACTAGGTTCTGTGAGTACACGAGCACCAATCCACACAGACCCTGGAGCAGAGAGCTGTAGGCTCAGCTCACATGGCCCGAGTGACCCGAGGCAGCTGCTAACCTCTCTCCCTCCTGTCTCTTCACCCGTACACAAGAACACTAGCTCTTTTTACAAAAAGCATTCAGGAGCTAATCCTTACAAAGTACCCAGCCTGGCACCTGTGCCCACTTGCAGATGCTGGGCCTTGGGGATAGAGATGGCTCAGTGGCTAAGAGTGTTGCTGTCTTGCAGGTAACAGTTCAGTCCCATCACCTATGTTGGCAGCTTATAACTACCTGTAACTCCAGCTCTATGAGGTTCCAATGCCTTCTTTTAGCCTCACCAGGCACTTGCACATTTCTCTCATATACAAAAATATTTTAAAGGATGCTGGACTCCAGGAGAGCACCTACATACAGGGCCATAATTCCTATCCATCCTGGGAACAGGTGGATGAGTCCACAGCTGTGCTACCAGCGAACCCTGAGAAAAACTCACCACTCTCACTGAAGGGTGGGTCCCTGCACTAGCAAGTAGGACTGTCTTGATGCAGCACTGAGCTGGTTCAAGTCCCTGCTGAGGCACTGTGAGAGACACTCACCTTCCATCCTTTCAGGAGGAGCCAAGCCAGCTCCGCTGGGTGGGCGCTGCCGGTTCCCTGAATGGCTGAGGCTGGGAGGGGTCACGCCATATGATGTGTACTGAAGGAGCGCATCCAGAAGCCAAAAGCAGTCTGCAGAGTCAACAGGTACACTACTTAGGATCCAATTTGTAAAAATGAATTCCTCCAGGAGAATTGAAGAACACTAGCTCCCATGAAGAGGGGGAAATGGAGGTTCAGAAGTCAGAAGTTTAGGTCAATGTGAAGCTGATACCCTCACCAGACTCTCCTACTCTTGAGAAGAATGCATGTTCCATAGGCAGGGTTCCAGCCCACCCAGGATAGTCTGCTCCAGTACCAGCTGACTGTAGGTGGAATTTACTCTATGTCTCAGGGCCCTGGGCACCTCAGCCCCACTGTGACTGGTTAGGACCACCTGCCTGAGTGTCACACAGCTCCAGATAGCTCACGGGCAAAGACAGAAGAGTGTTCATTCAGAGATGGCAAGACCATGTGACACCCACTGAAAAAAGAATAGCCTCCACAAAAGGAGCTCCAAGGACATGAGCTGCTGCTAAGGACCTGAAGTCATCCTGGGAACAGGAAATCGGTTTTAACTATGAGGGAGCAGACATGGGAAGGTGAGTTTAAGATTAGAGGAGAGGGTCTATTATTTGAGTCAGTGGTCCTAACCAATATGGTCAATTCTTTTCTGGACATCTCAGAATCCAAGTCTGAGAATACAAGAAACTACCACTCAGAGCTGCACACAGCCCCCTCCTAAGGAGGCTGCAGATGCTCCCATCCCAGACCTGGTTTCTCTCTGTCCACTCCCTCCCTCCTACCCCTTATTTACCCAGCCCAAGTCCCATTAACACCTATCTGGACCACAGCAGCTTCATGAGTGGGAAAGGCTGTTAAGTACTCTACTCTAGAAAGAGCATGCACTTCTGGCCAAGTGCCAAAAGCCCCCAAGGACCCAAAGAGCTGCCATCTGAAAGGTACAGGCACAGACAGTCCCTTTAGGCACTTAAAATTTTAATAAAGACTCTTAACAGGAAAGCTCAGATCCTAAAGAGAATTTCTGTGGAAATAAAACTTTAATCTCCTATCTGCTGTGACTTTAAACCTTACTTCTGGTTTAAAAAAAAAAAAAAAACAATCATAGTCTAAGGATTTACATAAGCCACTGAAATCCAGTCAACATCAACTGGACATTGGGGAAAGGTGCGGCATCTGGCATGTGCCTATGGCCCCACTGTCTGAGCACCCTGAGGTAGAGCAGAGTCCAAGACGAGCCTGGTTTACCAGCATCTTCCCAGATCAAGACCTGAAGCGCTGCCACTGTTCCTTCCTTAAAGGAAGAAAATGAAGTCCACACCCAAGCACATGAGCAGCATGCTTGGAGGATACAAAAGACAGGCTGCAAAGGAGAACTAACTCTGCCTTCTTGCTTCCTGTCCTCGAGACAGTAACAGTGGCCCCTCACTGGTAAACGCTCTCAGCACCCCAAACTCTCAAGTCTTAGGGGAGAGCAACAAGCAAGGCCTCCAAGACGCATGCATGGCTGGGAAGAGAGGCCAGACCAAAGAAACACACAGGAGGTTACACAACCTAGCAGGAAGCCTGAGAAGGGCAGAACGTGGGTCACTTAGGTTAAGGGACTCTACTAACAGGTGACAGTGACTCATGCCCATGAGATGGGAAAACAGAGGCGGGTACTGAGGTCTGTAGAGGTTTGTGTAGCCATGTGTTAGCCTTCAGGTATCTGCAGGAATATCCCAGCAATCCAAATACCTGGTAGGCACATGCCTGGCTCCTGTGGGCAAGTACCTGTTTATTTCTCCAGCTCTGGCCAGCACCTCTCCAGAGAAAAAGAAAAGAGGACCATGTACCCAAATCATTAAGCCTATGTGCTTCTTCTTCTCTTTTACGGCCATGCTGGGTTTGAACTCAGGGCCTTGTACATCCGAAGCAAGTGCTCTACCACTGAGCTGCAGCCCCAGCCCTCCTGTGTGTTCTTTCCTTACCCTTCTGTCTATGACTGTCATCCAAGCAATTGGAGTCTCCATACAACACGATCCGGCCTCCACCCTCAGCTGGAATCTGATAGAGCCCCAAAATGGGAACATTTTCAACAACTGCTGTCTCTTGCTTTAAGACCTCCAATCCTGCAGTGAACAACAACAGCGGAGAGAGGTCTCTGAGGGATGACTCATTTTCTAGTCGCCACTGGGCCTGAGATTTGACCTACCTGACACAAAACCAGCAAAACACAACATTCAATCAAGACAGTGCAAATCTTCAGAACAGGGAAGCAGTATTTAAGCATTTTTAATTTTAGTTTTAACAAAATCCAGCTCTCACAAAACTAGTGTCCACAAATGCAGCTAACTTTTAAAATGTGTGTCCTTCCATGTGCCATTCAGACGTAAGACTTGATGAAGCACACACCTTAGCAACAGCACCTCTGACCTGCCAAGCAGACAGCACATGAAAATGTTTAATGAATCAAGATAGAAAAAGTACCAGTGCCCTGGGCAGCTGCCAACAGCGTAGCCACATTGAGTTTATGCTACGTAAACTTAAGTTTACCCTACTAGGTGCCAGACACCATCAGAATTTGCGACTGTGCCTATAGCCAGCTGTTACATGCCTCAGCTCTGTGGAGTGAAATTTAACAGGACAGACCCAGATGGCCATGGATTTACTTACATTTAGCCCCAAGCTACCTAAGAACTTTGTTATTTTTTTCCCCTTTGCTTGCCCCGTTTTCCTATTTTGGTGATACTGGGGCATGAACCTAAGGCTAGGTGAGCACTCTACCACTGAACTACACCCCATCCCTTTTCTTTCTAACTTTTGATCTGATGGGGTGTCCTGCTAAGTCACCCAAGCAGGCATCAAGCGTGTGATTCTCCTGCCTCAACTGTATCAGTAGTTAGGATGACAAGCCTGTGTCACCTTGCTCAGCTTTGACAATAAGGCCTTTTCTGCTCTAACATGACATGTACCATCAACGTACTACCTTTTATATCCAAAGACTATCGAATTTAACATCAAGGAGTTGACTTTTTAGACTATGCTAAAACACAAAATAAAGTATACATTATTAAATCTACTTTTGCTATCTCCTTTTCCAAAATACTGAACTATAGGAGGCAGCAAACAAGCTAGGAGGCCATAACTCTTAACCCCAGAAGCAGCAAGCCAGTGAGAGCAGCATTTAGAAAGCACTAACTTATAATGAGCTAGGCCAAGGGGCTGAGAAGATAAAATCTGGTGCTTAAAGTGGCCACAAACAGTTGAAACATTGTATCATATTTTCAACTGATAAAACTGTCTCTCAGTTACAGAAAAACAGCCATCTTGACGGTGGTGTGGCTGGTCACTCTGAAGACAGGACATCAGTTTTTAGGAGGGAATGGCCCCACCAACACATATTTACAATCTGTCACATAAGGAATGTCAGTCTCCTGGCACTTAGCACAGATGAGACATGTCTTACAGCTCAGAATCCCAGCTCTGGAGTGACAGCCATAGGAAGAACATCCTGTGGTCCTGTCCTACTGTCCTGAACCTAACTTTCAAAACTAGATGCAGCCTGGTTTGTCCCAGCAGGTGGGATCTGTGCACTCAGCAGACTGTTACCCACACTACTAGGGGCCTGGCCCAGACTTGAGGGATGTCTGTTGTGAGTAAACACAGATAAACAGCAATGCCCCCTAGAAGGGAAGATAGTGTTTTTTGTTTCGTTTTGTTTAGTTGTTGGGTTTTTGTTTTTTTTTTTTTGGGGGGGGGGGGTTTCCAGACAAGGTTTCTGTGTAGCCCTGGCTATCCTGGAACTCGATTAGTAGATCAGGCTGTCCTCCAACTCACAGAGATCCACCTGCCACTGCCTCCTGAGTGCTGGGATTAAAGGCATGTGCTACCTGTGCCCAGCAGAAGATAGTGTTTCTAACCTGAATCTTCATCAAGCTAAGAAGTCTCAAAGCCAACAAGACTATGCTATAGCTGTACACCAATCACAGAAGAACAACCCTTAGACTGTGACCAAGACAATGTTGAGCTCTGTCCTGGAGAAACCCCATTTCCTCTGCAGACTACACACACACATTCAAAATATCAGCAAGTGTCTGTTTTGCTCATTTTGGAATCCCCCAGAGTCCATGTCACAGTATACAAACACTACTACAATGAGTTTTAGCAGGAAGCAGAGCAGAGGGAAGGGAAGGCCCGGACTACTTGTGGCATTCCTAATGCCCGACAAAGCATGCGGAAGTGAGCTATGAGGTGCACACAAGGATGCACTGAACACCACTGAACCAGACACGTCAGAAGAGTGAATCTCTGAGAGAGGGAGAGGGAGATAAAGGACACTAGAAGCCTGTGTGAACAGTACCCTTTCTTTACCTTGGTCCTTGAAAGTCTGTGTGATCACGACACCATCTTCTGGAAACTTGGCGATGCTGCACCCCGACGCATAATACACTGGAAAACAGTTGCTCACCATTAAGGGAGCAGAAATGCCCAACACTCAACTCACTGACCCATCATGCATTTCAGACATGTTCTACATCACTTACATTTATTTTTAAAGGTTTTTTTTTTTTTTTAACCTGAAGAGACAAATGGCTATTGCCTGTCGCACTTCAACTAGAAGTAATCACTTCAAACTTCAAGTAAAAAATGCTGGTGACATACAGTTTCTAAACAGATTTTTAAGAAACATACAAACAAACTTTTTTTTTTTTTTTTGCTTGTTAGAAACAGGGTTTTGTTATATATACCAGAGTGACTTCAAACATCTGTCTCAGGCTCTTGGCTCCCAAGTGCTGGGATTTACAGGCATAAGCCACCATGCCCAGTTCATGTGGCAGTGAGGATGGAACCCAGGGCTTTGTGTAAGCCAGGTAAGCACTCTATCAACTGAGCAACATGCCCAGATCCGATGGGGACTGAACCTAGATCCTTGCACATGCAAGACAAGTGACCACTGACCTACGGTCCCAGCCCTAAATGTGCTTTTTGAAGACATTGATTATGTCTTTCCACACTACAGCTCATTTATGAATGCCATCTCTCTCCTTCAAAAGCATGTAGCTCAAACCCTCACCCTTCTGCCAACTGCATGCCTCTACACACAGACACAAAGCCTTACTGTCATGGTTTGCCAGGGCAAACTCCCCTTCATAAAGGCCGTCACTGAACCCCATGTTCCACACAGACAGCAGCTCATTCAGAGCTGGGATGTTGGCTCCTCCAGTATCTGGCATCCACCACTGCCTGTAAAAGTGGCAGCGGGCACAGAGAAGGCAAGAATTAAAATCCTCCCATACACTTCCTCTTTCCTTGACAAAACATGGTGTCTTCTGTCACAATCCAGTCCACACATACATAAAAGTGGCAACTGAAACAAGCTGTTTGGTTTGAGAAATATATAAAACCTACTGCTCCAGCAAATGTATAGAACACATTCAAGCTTTCTTTCATGAAATTAAAATCAGAACTTCTCTGGCATGCAACCCAGACAGGCCTAGTCTAGACTTAGCCAGAACCAGAGAAGGAGAAGTGAGAAAGGAGGACAGACATGCCAAAGAAAATCCATAGCACGGTACAGCATTTATAGCATTCTAGCACTCGGCAGCTCACTACACGGCTCTCTGAGTAATACTTCCGTGGTGGGTGCATGTCAATTTTCTTATGTTCAGTCTGAAGGATGCAGGACAGAACAGCATGAAACAGAAACCAAAGGACAGGTATCTGGGCTCAGCAAGCAAAGACAATGACCCCCTAATTAGCACTGAGTCCGGAAACCTCCATCTCTCCACAAGGAGCTTTCTGACACACAGACAAGAGCTTTCTCCACCCACACCCGCTACCTAGAAAGACCACCCCAAGCTAACACAGTCGCCCAAGAGCTTGCTGGGGACTCTAACCCCAAAGCCATCCTGCTATGCAAATGCCGACTACAACTGTACCTCGTGTTCTCGTCGTAAAACTTCACTTTCCTCATGACCGAAGTATTGTACCAGTCACTGAAGACGACAAGGGAAAGGCCATTGTCCACGTCCCTCCTCAGCTTGGTGATCTCCTCAGGGAAGTACTCTTCTTCACTGTCTACCATAAGCAAGGTGCCTGTTGGAAGAAGCGCTGCAGTTTGAGAACTGTCACGTCAGAGTGGCAGAAGACAATTCAGAAGCGCCACCTGTCACTGGTGTCCTCCCTAGGAGTCTGGTTGGTGCCACCCTGCCCCACTACAGAGGGAGGTGAGACACACAGCCGGGGCCAGCAAGCCACGAGGACCGGCTAACTGTACCTAACTGTACTCTTGGTTTTCATCTGTGCTCAATGTAAAGATGTTTCATTACTTTAGGAAAGAGTAATGTGCAGTGATAGCATTAATTAAAAAAAAAAAAAAAAAAAAGACTGGGCCAGTGAGGTGGCTCACTTCCACCAAACCTAAGTTCAATCCCCAGGATCCATAAAAAGGAGAAAACAGATTCCTCCAAGCTGTCCTCGGAGTGCGCGCGCACACACACACACACACACACACACACAAAATAAATGTAGTAAAAATAGTAAAAAAAAAAAAAAAAAAAAAAGTTAAAAAAAAGGCTACAAATCTCTGTTCACAACCAGTTCCGTACTCAACTGAGAATTCCAACTATCACTACCTAGTGATCACAAACATCATGGAGAGCCTCGTTCTCCACCTCCACTTGGTCACAGAGACTATCCTGGGCTCCCTTTATCAGGCCATCAGTGAACACTGTGGCAACACTCAACACATATATGTGATGTGGGCTGAAAGACCTGGCCAGCTGCTCACCATACTGTGTGGCGTCAAAGCATGTAAATGGGGCACCAAGCACCTCCACGAAGTAGCCCATGCTGCGCAGATGCTGGTACATGTCCCTGAAGTTGGTATGGACATGGTCGCCATTCCTGAAAAGCAACAAGCACAGCGGTCAGGTGACTACTCTCCACTGGTTACCACAGGAGGCCAGAGCTGATCCCAGGAGTGGAGCCCAGGAGCCAGCCTTTCCAGGATCGCATCCTTTGGGTTAGACAAGCTCAGGTGGTATCGAGAGAGTGCATGGCATGTGCAGATGAGAAAATGATGCAGGGACAAGGCTTAAGATGTCCTGAGCAGTAGGTTAGAGCTACACACTAACTTGTTAGCAGCCACCTGCATGGAACAATCCCCACAGGGACACACAGACTGGTGCACTCTGTGAAGGTTAAGCACATGATTCCCTATCACCTTGGCTTGCTTTCCTTTCCAAACATGCTCAATTTCCCTGCACAGCTAGATTAACTGTTTAAATGCTGGCAGAAAAACCCAGAGCCCATCTCCTCAGCCATGCCCACTTGACAGGTTCCTGTGCAGGCCCTGATGTCAGTTTCCCCTATTCCTATCACTTGTCTGATTTGGACCCACCACCCTCCCTTTCAGGAAAATTTTACTTTCAAAGGCAAATCTGGAGCTAGAGAGATAGCTCAGTGGTTAAATTGGCTGTTCTTACAGAAGTTCAATTTCCAGCACCCACATGGCAATGCACAACCACTTCCAGGGGATCTGATGTCCTTTTCTGACCTCTGCAGGTAACAGGCATGTAAGTGGTGCACAGACATACATACAGATAAAACATCCACACATATAAAAGTTAAAAAAAAAAAAAAAAAAGACAAATCCAACCCTGTAAGAATTTTGGTCAGTCAGGGTGTGGTGGCACACACCTTTAATCCCGGCACTCAGGAGGCAGAGCCAGGTCTTTGAGTTCGAGGCCAGCCTGGTCTACAAATTTCAGGACAGCCAGGACTACACATAGAAACCTTGTCCCACACTTTCAAATGGAGCGGACAGGCAGCAGATGGACAGGCTGAAGCAAGCTGCGGAGAGGGCCTTCTTTCAGGTGATCATGGTGGCTGACATAAGACAGATGGAATGCAGAGAAGCAATAAGAACAGAATCAAGACTTGTCCAGAGGACAGGGACAACACCCAGGCCTCAGCCACAGTCAATGGAAGGCCACACACGGGAGGACAGGAGGACAGAGCCTGACAGTGGGACTGACCAGACTGCCAGTTGACTCAGTGGTGGACTGGGAAATATGACAACAGAGCATGACGTCAGTTTCTGCTACTCAAGTGTTGTTTAGAGAAGTGGTTGTCTTCACAACACAGCCCCAAGAGTGATACGAGCAAGGACACAGTCCTAGGGTGACAGGATGCAGGCAAAGCTGCCGCTCACCAGTCTAAAGGATCATTCTTCATCCGCAAGTTGTCCCTGGGGAAGTAGCCTGGAGGGTAGCGGAGGTTGTGATACTGGTCCCAGAGGACTCTCTTGCTCCGAGGAGGGGTGGGAATGATCTTCACCTTAATGGGAAGCTTCACTGTGGAAGTATGCTCAGCACCATTTTTTGACTAAAAAAGAAAATGGATAAAACAGAAACTTGAAATGCACTCTCTGAAAAACTCTTAGTTCAGGTTTTAAAACATCTTTTTCTTTTTCCTCTTTCTTTTGTTTTTGAGATAAGATCTCAAACTCAGGGGGCTGGAGAGATGGCTCAGTGGTTAGAGCACTGGTTGCCCTTCCAGAGGACCTGGGTTCAATTGCTAACACCCACATGGCAGCTCACAACTGTCTGTAACCTCAGTTTCAGGGGACCCAACACCCTCACAAGGACATACATGCAGGCAAAACACCAATGCTCCAAAAAAAAAAAAAAAAAAAAAAAAATCTCAAACTCAGGATCTTCCTGCCTCAGCTTCTAGATGCTGGGATTACATACAACAGTACCATACTGTGCTCACAAAGCTTGTTTCTAGTTACCAATCTAATCCACATAACTTAAATATAAGAATATATGACAATAACCTATGTTCATATGTTACAATTAATTCTGTTCAAATTCAAGAACTGACTTAAATTCAGGCACTTTGTTCCCTAAAAGCCACTAGAGCAAGAAGACCAACCCTATATTTGCTTCTTGGGAGACTAATTTCAGACGCACTAATTTTGAGCTTGAAATTAGGCCCAAGAAGGTCCTGTCTGCTGAGACAACAGCAGAGCAGGAAGCACAGACTGGGTTAAACAGAGCTGCTCTGGAGGCCTGGGCCATGGTTCATGGCCTATGAGGCTAAGCCAGTCAACCTCGTGGTCCATTAAATGGAGACCCTTGGCACTGAGGCTGTCCCCCACATCTCCCTCTCCTGGCAGGAGCTGGTGAAGGGTAAAGAAAATCAAGCTACTTCCTGGTGTACCCTTACTTCCATCTCTGCTGGGGAAGCCACCGTGATCATGATGTGGCCCTGCGCGATGCCTTCCCAGGAAGCTGCCTTCTTGGTCACAGAAATGGAGATGGCCAGGTAGCCTGACCAAGGCCATAACACCGAGGAGTAGGAGAAGGCTACTTCAATGTTGTCTCCATTCTGTGGTAAATAGGGCCGCCACTCAGGCTGCAGGAAAAAGAAAGCAGGCCAAGGGTGAAGTGAGCTGTGTGGAGTGCAACTGAACTAGCCTGGCTGTCGAGGACTATTTCAGGGCACTGGAATGGAGTCTTGGACACAAACATGTTGTCAGCAGTCCACAACACCACTGCTGTGGATGTTCTACCGGGTTATCAAACTCCGCCATTCTTTAGGAAATGGGGTGCACTTGTCAAGAGTTCTCTAAGAACATGCATCAGATGAAGAGAAGTAACACAAGCACAGACCCTCAGACTTGTCCTCAGAGAGCCACACGACTCAAGTGTCACAGAGGCCAGCTGTCACCAACCAAGTCCTGCAGCTAGTGAGAGGCACCTGGAGGAAGTGCTCTGCACTGGCTGTAGGTACTGCCCTGCTGTGTAACACGTACACCCCACCACGGGCCAGAGGAGAGAGGAGAGGGAGGCAAGAAGAGATCACCTAGAAACCATACAGACCTAAGTCACTGACTCCCTCACAAGCCACAAAGCTTACAGAGCCAGGGCAGCTGCCTAAGTGACTCAGCATAGCTAAAAAAATAAATAAATAAAGTTCTGGAAAAGAAGCTCCTGTAGGACACACCACCACAAATCCCAGTTAATAGCTACTCTTGGAGCTACTGGTTGGCAACTGAGAAAAAAAAAATTTTAACTTCCATCCATCTCTTATGCAACAAACACTAACTGATGAAGACACTTAATGTTTAGTCATATAAACAAGAATTAGTGTAAACATAAACTGACTTTATCATACCCCTGTAGGGGGTTATAATTTTTCAAACAAGAGAAAATAATCACAAAAGATGAAAGTTCAACTATATCAAAGTACAAAACTTTTATAGAAGAAGTGAGGTTTAATAAAACAACCACAGTAAGTCATATCAAAGAACAAGAAAACTGGGAGTGGCATAGCAGGGGGAACACTATAAAAACCATAGCAACAGCCAGGTGGTGGTGGTACACGCCTTTAATCCCAGCACTCGGAGGCAGAGGCAGGAGGATGTCTGTGAGTTCAAGGCCAGCCTGGTCTACAGAGTGAGATCCAGGACAGGCACCAAAACTACAACAGAAAAACCCTATCTCAAAAACAACAACAACAAAAACAAATCCACAGCAACAGCTATCTTTCCAAGATACAGACACTGTAAGAGCAACAGGGAAACAAACCTCCAACTCCAGTAAAAACTGGGAAGGAAACACAAAGGGAATTGGCACTGAGGGACGATAGATAATTAGTAAACACATGCAGAGGTACCCAACCCATACAGTTCTTTTATAGTCTTCACTAACCAGAGCACCTACCTCTAAAAAACTCCCCCTCCCCACAACACACACACTTAAGAAAAAAAAGTGGCAACATCCATACTCTGGAGTATCACTCAGCCATAAAAAGGAGTAAATCACTGAATGATGCATGAGGAACCTTGAGAAGATTCAATGAGAAAAGTCAGTCATAGCAGAACGGACACACACACACAGACACACACACACAGACACACACACACAGACAGACACACACACACACACACACACACACACACACACACACACACACACACACACACACACACACGAGTCCTATAGTATGGACTGTTCAGAGCAGACAAACCAAGAGATGAAAAGCAGACTGAGCCAGGTATGGTAGTGCACACCTTCAATCCTAGCATTTGGGAATTAGAGGCAGGCGGATCTCTGTGAGTTTGAGCACTGTCTATAGAGCAGTTCTAGGGCAGCAAGGGCTACACACAGAGACAAATACAAAATGTATCTCAAATACAAAAATGAAAAAGAAAAAGAAAAAGGGCAGATTTATGGCCACAGGGGCGTGGGGTGGGGGGGAATGGACAACGACACGAGGACAGAGTAAATGCTGATTGGTGTAGTGGTTTTAGGGGTGACAGGAATGTTTTTGAATGCAATGTTGATGTAGTCGTGTGACTACTAACAACACCCTGACAACTGAAGAGAGAGCATCATGAAATATAAAACTGAGAAAGCTGTGTCATTCAGGGTAGGCAGGGTACAGGCACCAATCAACAGCAGCAGCAGCAGCAGCAGCAGCAGCAGTCTGGTGGACACAGCTCTCTTGGAGAGATTTGGTGTCTGCACCAACAACTGCAGTACATCCACACCCTGACTCAAGAGTCTCATCTAGGGACCACACACCAGAAATAACTAGAAAAGAAAACTCTGTGTGTAATAGCAAAATATTTACACAGAAAAGCCACACAACTGTTCAAGCAAGAGCACACAGTGACCCCATCATGCTGACACACACTGACAACACACTGGTGTATTCTCACATGCTTACAGCGGAAAAACTAAAATAAATTTCTGCCCACCACACAACAACAAACATGACATCCTGTTGCAACAAGATCCGGTAAAGAATATGTTTTAAACAATAGCTGGGAACTGGAGGGGGAAGTCAGTTTTCTATGCTTTCCCCTCTATCCCTTATCACTGAGTGATAGAAAGGCCTAAACATGAGGGCCTGTTCATGTTCACTAAGGAACAAAGTCATTTTCATCAGTCAGTGGCTATGAAAACTAAAATGCGCTCTGCCATTCAGGAGTCAAAGCCAGAGAATAAATTGAGGTCCTGACTTTCCTGTATAGGAGCAGGTATGACTTTCTGTATGAGAAAGAGCTGCCCACCAACTCTCTGAAGCGTACGCAGGTGAAAGCAGCACCCCCTCCCCCTTTTCAGAGACGGTCTCACTATGTAGCACTGGCTGTCCTAGAACTTGCTATGTAGCACTGGCTGTCCTAGAACTTAGAGATTCGCCTGCCCCTGCCTCCCAAGTGCTGGGACTAAAGGTGTGCAGCACCATACCCAGCTCAGCCCTTTCTAAATTTCAGGAGGGATAACTAAGTACGAAAGTCTGGGCCATGTCACACAGAGGAGTTTCACCTTATCCACAATTCTTCCTGTGACTCCCATGCCATTGAGGATGGTGACATTAACGATTGTTGGCATTCCTCCATAGTAGATGGGCTGGGAGCAGTAGGGCCACATGTAGGGACACTCAGTCAGGTCGATGTAGCTAGGACTCAAGCTGAAACAACGAACAGAGTGTTAGTGTAGACCACACCAGAAAGCAACGGGGAAGCAGGCAGCAAGCTGGGCACAGGCAGCACAGTGGAGCTGCATATTGTAGGGCTGCCCTGGCTGGCACGAGGGGTGTGCCCACTGTGCAGCTCCCTGACTGCTGGATAAACAGCACAGATCCACAGGAAGCACCTCCCGCCTTCTGGAGCCAGGGGCTCTGTCAGCTGCTATGGCAGCAAACCATGGACTGAAGTTGCAAGAGGCTTTCTTGGGCAGAAACACACCCATGTACCTATGCGGCCTGCTGCTTGGTCAAAAAGTCAGCTCTGTGAAACCCTGCTTGGGGGCTGGGCAGGAGGGGGAAGCGTGGGAAGCCCAAGTCTGGATTCCTCCAGATGCCCTGCTCACTTACAGCAGGTCCCTCTGTATTCTTGCTCTGCTGTACCAGACACCCTCAGCTGAGACCCATAAAACCTTCTAGTAAAATGCTGAGCCTGGAGAGGTTCCGGCCTGGCTGAGATGGTGCAGAAGTGCTGACACAATGATGCTGCACTTCCTTTCATTCCTAGTGTCTGAAATGCATCTGTGTCAGGTTAACACTATTCCTAGCAAGCACTGGTGTCAGAGATCTGTGCAGATGTGAAGACACACAGGAAGTGGATACGGCAGACAGACAGTGGGCATATGGCTCTGTACCCTGTTTCATCTATCTCATGATGGCACACTCACCTTGCACACATGGGGCAAACTGAATTACTGCACAAAATCCTAACATTATCTTTGTGTACATGTTTTCATGTTTAAGCACATATGGACACCAGAGGTCAACCTCAGGTGGTGTTCCTCAGGATAGACGGATGTTCAACTTGTTCTGTAGGGTAGGGTGTCGCACCAGAACGTTAGTCTCACAGGTTCAGCTAGACTGGCTGACCAGCAAGCTCCAGGGACCTGCCCGATTACGTGAGTGGGCCACTGCATTTAGCTATTTTGTATGTATTCTGGGGATTGAATTAATGATCTCATGCTTGAATAGCAAGTAGTTTACAGATTGGGCCATATCCCTAGCTTCCCAAACAACATCTTTAGGGATATTCTGCCATCTATGAAGAACTATAACCAACATGTGTTACATTTAGCCATTCGAATAGATACCACCTAGTCTCACTCCTGGTGGCTGGTTGTATGGATGTCTGAGTCAGTAAAAGTACTTATGCTCCATGAACAGTTTAAACCAACTAGCATGATTCAACTAAGAATTCCTAAGCAAGCACAATTCAATACCCCACAAAGAAAACACCACACCAAGCAGCACTGTCCAAGCAGTGGTATTTTCAGGAACGAAAGACTGATTTGATGTCAGGAAGTCTAAACTACAGGCTCTTACCGATGCTGAACAGTCTACAAAACTCTAAGCATGGTCTTGGTGTGAAACAATAGAAAAATCCAGCAACTAGAAAATCCTACCATGACAACACTACACCGAGTCCCACAAGCAGCACTGAATAGAGTGGAGAAATACTGAGGAACCACGTGGGGTGCCACTGCTCCCAGCCAAAGCTATCAGCACTTTGCTGGAGACATTACCTGGTCCAAGTGGACAGAATAGTCAACAAAGGCTTTACATTTTTTAAAAAGTTTTAATTATGTATTATGTGTGTGAGACTGTGTGTGGGTATGTGCGCCAAGTCAGGTGCCTGCAGAAGCTAGAGGCACCGGATCCCTCTGGAGCTGGAGTTACTAGCAATTGTCAGACACCCAATATGGATGCTAGGAACCCTGCTCAGGTCTTCCATAAGAATAGTACATATTCTTAAACACCGAGCCATGTCTCTAGCACCAAAAAAGGCTTAAGAGTTGGTAAGAAAGACAGAACGACCTGTTTCCCATTACGTGATATATTAGTATATCTGGAAAACTAGAGAATCAACAAGCAAACTGAATCAAGACATAATTCACAAGACAGCAGGATATTAAATTATAAGAATTATATCAACCAGCTAGAAGCTGTAACTAAAGAGAAACACCTGGCAATAATGACAATAAAAAGATTAAACACTTAAACTTACCAAGCAACATGTGAGACCTACAGGAGGAGTCTGTAAAGCCTCTTGGGAGACACAAAAACCTTGAGTAAATGGCACAGCCATTATGAGCAAACACTGGGACAAGAAAGATGTCTCAACGGTTGGAGCATCAGCTCTTCTTTCAGAGAGCCAAGTATGATTCCCAGCACCCACATGGCAACTAACAAAGGTCTGTAACTCCTGTTCCAGGGGACCCAACACCTTCTTCTGGACCCCACAGGGACCACACACAAGTGGTGGACAGACATACATGCAGGCAACACATCCATCCACATAAAATAAAAAAAAAAGAATGGTTTTGCAAAGGACCCAAGTTTGGTTCTCAGCACCCATGTCAGACAGCTCACAACTGTCTATTAACTCCAGCTTCAGGGGATTGGATGTCCTCTTCTGGCCTCTGTGGGAACTGCACTCACATGTACAGCAAGCACCTCCACTCTCCACAAACACAATTAAAAACGTATTAATACAAACCATCCCTCTTCGGCTGATTTAAACTTGTAACCCAATAAAAATGCTAACAAGCTCTCTTATGGAAAGCCAAGTTACTATGAAAAGCCACACAAAGAAAAAAATCTCCAAGAGCCAAGAAGATGAACAATGGGAACCAGCCCTCCTGCACATTAAAACACAAATAAAAGCCCTTAATAGAACAGAGTGGCAGTAGCATATGGACAGAGCAGTGAAGTGGCACTCAGAGCCCAGAGACAGGTCCAAATCTATATAAAGGTCATATGAAGGACAGAGAACAAAAGTATTCCAAGGGGTCCTGGACCAGAAAGGCCTGTGTGGGACCCAGTATACAATGTTGTCTAGGTGGCACTCCAGACTGGGCAGCTGAGCTGGTGCCATTAAGATGCCAACATTAGGGAGAAGCTGGGAGGAGAACTTCTGGGTCCTCAGTACTATTTGGGAAACTGATATAAATCTAAAATCATCTCAAAATAAAAGGTGTAAAAAAAGTTTTGGTGAAAAACGGCCTCAGACCAATCATGAGAAAATAGAAGATAAACCCACTGGAGACAATCTGTAATGTAAGCAACCAGCTCTTTGCTCCGAGAGTCAAAGCAGAAATGACAAAACACAAACAAACTGCCAGGGGCCAGAGGCCAGGCTAACAAATGACAATGTAGGGCCTGGAACAACCCCAACAGGACAAAGAACACAAGGGTAAGCACAGAGTCTGAGTGGCCACAGAGACCTTATCTACAGAGCCAGTGTCACACATGACTTCAAATAGTTGTGTCAGGTCAGCTAAGCTGTTACCTTCCTCTCATCGGAGAAGCTGAGCGAACATGATACGACAATTTTAGTTTTTGCAAATTTTCTGCAAACCTAGGTTGTTTCAAAAGTGTTAAAGAAATGGGAACCATTCTTTTTGTCACATTCATTAAGGTAATATAGTGTCACAGTGTCAAGAGAAGCCAGGTTTTTTGCAAGCAGCACCTGGTAGCAGCAGCTCACATCCTTACAACTGAGCCTGAGTGTGGGGGCCATCACTCCCAATGTCAGGCTACTCTTACATGCAGAGGGGGCCCAAGGGCCCAGGATAGGCAAGCCCTACTGAGGATGCCAGCACATACCCACCTCGCCTGTGGTTTATAGCTGCTGAGGATCTGATAGGCTCGCAGCAGATCCAGCTTGCCATGGCCTTGCTCAAACATGTTGACCCCAGGAAGCCTCCGGGCTGATGCAATCAGGGCTTGTTTCACACTGGCAGGATTTACCAGCTCCCGCTTCTGCACTGTGCTGGGGAAAGAGAAGCAGTATTTGCTCACTTTTCTCTTAGTGTAGAATGAAAACCAAACTGCCTCCAATCTGCAAAAGGGCCAGCATGTAGCCTGCAGTCTGTTCTCTATCTAGCAGGACTTCTGGTCCAGTGGAGCCAGGAGATGAGAATTCCATGAACTCCACAGGTCCCTGTGTCAGGCCTGACCACTCAGTAAATCTCCACACAACTTTTCTCAGCAGTGAATTTGTAGGCCCATGCCTATTTATACAAAATGAATGAATAATAGTTTCCTGATAATCTGAATAAATCCGTCACACAAGGTTACAAAAGGCAAAACCATCAAAGAGGGGCAGGGTCCCTAGAGAGGAACACCAGCTGGCTGGCTGGGAGATGGAAAGGAGATGGAAAGTGGGTATTGTAGAGGGACCCAACGAGAGGTGGGCAGGAGTGCACGGTGAGGGAGGACCACTGCCTCCAGTGCCAGTCCTTGTCTTTGGTTTGGGATTTGGAGGCCTGAGGCCACTGTGAACACGCCATCATTAGACCGCACCTCAACACACTAACATGTAGACTTGTTTGGCCAGCTTGGCTCACTATAACTGAAATGTTCATGTTTTCTTATCTATGTATCACATACAAATAAGTTTTAGTGACTAGATTTTGGGGCGGTTGGCAGGCAAAAACGGAAAACTTACTTTCCACTCAGATCCCTAAATATTAACACAGATGGAGGTGGATCTGAGAGCCAAGCAAGTTTTGTAATGGGTAACTAGACAGGAAGAGGAGACAGCGGGACTGGCTCTTCCTGAGGAGTGAGGTACTACTAGAAGTTACTTCCTCACTGAGCAGCATCTACCACACCACAGGCTCCTGTAACCACAACTGCTGGACTACCACAATGGCATCTGATGTGGAGAGGTGAGGTGAAGGCTCCCTCAACGCTGAAACTGCTTGTGTTGAGAACTGCTACTGGGAACAGTAAACACAGCCTCCTCACCTTCCCACTCACTTGGCAGAGACAGATGGGCTCTACAGAGAATTGGGAAGCCCGGCTTCCTGCTAAGAATTATGTGATAGGCAAAAGCAGACCAGTATTTTCTGTTTCTAGAATCCACAGTACTAGAAACAAGAGCCTGCACAGATCCCTTTACTCAGCACATAGAAAAGTGAGAGCGAGTCAGTCAGGTGCAAGGCTGCCTCCTCTTCTGTTTCACAGGGGAGGGAAGCCCTGTTTCCAGGAAGCACATACTTATTTCTGGGCGGTGCTGTCACTTTCGAAGACCTGCTCTGACTTACAAGGGAAGATCAGGCAAAAGACAGACTGCTCCCATCAACATTATTAATAACACAAACCAACCTGCAACTTGCTTCATTATAAAAATGAGCATAGAATACAAATTTCAAATAGGTAGAGGTTTGCGTTATTATAATATGGTACCTCAACAAAGACCTCAACTAGAGAAGGAGAAAGCCTGGTGGCAGGGGATGCAGGCACTTCAAAGACACAACTGAGAAGAAGGGAGCACGGCCCCTCTGAGCACGGCCAGGCAGGCGTGCTTTAATTCTGGTCTACCGTTTCAGAAGCTGCTTCTAGTTTCGTCACCTGCAGGAGGAAGGGCCGAGGACTAGGCTCCACTCCAACTACAGATGAGATTCAACACGACAGAATGCGTGGCACAGACACTCGTCAGTCATCAAGGAAAGTAGCTGGCTGTCAGGACAGCTAAGAGCACGGAAACAAAACGCGAGGTGACGGCTGTTAACTTCTTTCAGCAGAAACCAGTTATTCTCTGCGTCCCATGACAAAATGGTCTATTGTTAAATATTTAATAAGAAAAAAATATGTCTTGCTTAGGAAATGGAGGGTTCAGCAATGAAACTTGCACACTTTGTGTTCTTGCCCGACACACACATATTGCAAGAACAAAGCCCAGCCCATCACACAAACACATCTCGAGCCCTGGAGAGCAACAGATACGTGCCCTGCAGGGCTTTCTGGTTTACTCCAGCTTCCAGCTAGCACACAGAGGGGATCCTGCCTCCTGTGGGAGATGAGGGAGCAGAGGAAGCAAAGGTCAGCTGTGTGATACTCACCTTACTAACAAGGTGACAGCCCCAGCAACCACTGGAGAAGCGACACTGGTCCCCGAGAGTGCCCGGCAGCCCCCTTTCACACCGGAACCCCGCACTCCGGCACCATAGGTGACAATGTCAGGTTTCACACGACCATAGCCTCCTGGAAGTTCCTACAAACAAGGGTAGCTTGGTTTCTTATCACATCTACAGCCCTTAGCCATGGAAGGTTATGTGTGACTAAAACCAGATAGATTTAACCAGTCGTCCTAGAAGATGCTGGTTTGAGTCTGAAATACACTGTGAACTGAAAACAAGCTTTAGTGGTAACACAGAAAATAAAACTGCTTTAGTATGTTTTGTAATACTAAAATTAGCCAGGTGGCAATGGTTCATGCCTTTAATCCCAGCACTCGGGAGGCAGAGGCAGTTGGATCTCTCTGAGTTCAAGGCCAGCCTGGTCTAAGAGGTTTATGAAAGCCAGAAAACAGAGAAACCCTGTCTTGAAAAACAAAAAACAAAGAAGTATTAATACTAAAATAACAAAGCAAGAAAAAAAGTAATTTTGCTGATATTTTAATAATTGCTCAGATCTGAAAGCAGTCACTGACTTGTCACTGAGAGAAACAACAGCCTGCTCTACCTTCTGATAATCTAAATAATACATCAGAGAACTAGGAAAACTAAAACTGAAAAATATTTACGAGTGTCTTCATAACAAAAACCAGCATGTGGTTATGATTTGCTGTTTCAAAGGGTGAGGCATCACTGAAGACAGGCATGCCTTCAGACATCACAGTCTTCAGATCCCTAAAACGTGGGCCCGTATGAAAAATACAAAAGGATTTTAAACTAACTTTCTCCCCCACACCCCACTGCCTTTTCTCTGTATCTCTAGACATAGTTTTGCTGGGTAGCTCAGACTAGACTTGACTTATTTGTAATCTCTTATTCTAGTCTCCTTAGTGCTGGGATTACAGGTATGTGCCACCATGCCTGGCCAAGAATACTATATTCTGTTGAGAAAAAGTATACCTGACCTTTTTGAAATGAAAACCTTTTCCAGTCAATCAGTCATAAAAGGAGTGGAGAAGCATGGGCAAAGGGTGAAGACACTGTTTGCCACAGCTTCACAGATAACTCACACATTTCTTGGTATCACTGAAAAATGAGCCCTTGAGGAAGGCCACGGACATGGCACCATGTACAGTTGGTAAAGGTACTTACCCAGGGAGCTACAGACTGATGCTAACAGATGCTGTTTTCTTGCTACCTAACAGCACAAAGGACATGCTGGGGAACACAAAGAACACACAGCAGAGTGCAGGCCTGACTCCGAGTAGGCTCGACCAGACAGAAGTCAAGGCAATGAATAGGTCAGCTCCAGTGTGTGAGGGACAGAGACCTAGCATCTAAAAGAGCCCACACTGTACAACTGAGGCTGACGTGGAAGATTAGTCTATAGAGTGCTGCGGAGGGTAGGGTGGGGTGGGGACAAGGCCTAAATGTTCCCAGGCAGCTGTTTATCTTTCTGGGCCCTTCTTGAGAGCTCCCAGAGCTTAGCACAAACTAGAGCAATGAGACATGATCTGACCCTAAAGAACACTATGAACAGGTGCTCCCCAGTCACCTCTTGAAGGATAAAGCAACCGAGTGCTGCTCTGGGGAACATCTAATTTTGAAACAAACTGAGGTAAAGGAGGGTGAAGTGATACGCAATCAAACCCCAAGCAGCTCAATCACTAACATTCTGATATTGATTAATCACTAACACTAGGGACAGTGAATGCAATGACTGTAAGAATAGACATGAACTATTCTCACTGGGTTCTCCTTTTCACTTTAGTGGGGTCTGGCACTTGCCAGCCAGTGCTCTCCCATGGAGCTAAATTACCAACCTTGGAATTTACTTCTTAAGGCCAAAGATCAATCTGAGCTTGTATTGAGGAGAATCGCTGTCTTTCTCGCAGTTTAGACAACTGAGCCTGAGTCTACTTCACCTACATGTGAGCTTCAGAAGATGGTGAAAGATTAGAACTGGGAAAGGCCCCTCAGAATCCACCTAGGGTCTACATGGCTGCTCAACTCACTGAACTAAGGTGGCTAACACCAAAGGAGCCTGACCTCTTGTCCTCATGGGGGTGGGTGGTGGTGGTGATGTGTGTGTCCATGTGCTTGCGCGTGTGTGTGCGCGCACATATCCACAGCCCGGGCTATTTCTCTGCCAGTTCACTAACAAATACATGTCAGAGCCGATAGATCAAGGGCTCCGTGAGTCACATTAGGCTAATATAGAAAAGCATACCCAGGGCTGGGCAGTGGTGGCGCATGCCTTTAATCACAGAACTTGGGAGGCAGAGCCAGGCGGATCTCTGAGTTCGAGGCCAGCCTGGTCTACAGAGCAAGATCCAGGACAGGCACCAAAACTACATGGAGAAACCCTGTCTCAAAAAACCAAAAACCAAAAACCAAAAAAGAAAAAAAAGAAAAAAAGAAAAGAAAAAGAAAAAGAAAAGCATACCCAGGTAGTCATTCCCCTGGAAGAAAAGCGGGCGATGTTATCTTCAAAGTCAATGCCACCCACTCCAATCACATCCATCTGATCAGCAGGGTTATTCAGAGTGCTAAATTGAGACATATAAAAGAGAGAGAAAAAAAGGAGAAAAACAATTTAAAACGAATAATTCGAACCAGGTCAAGCACTCTCAGAAAAATTTAAGGCCATATCTTAGGTTCTTCTGTACAAGATGTGTACAGCTTTGATGGAAGGCTGCTCCTCAGAGCTGTCCTGTGAAATGCCACATTCCTAGCCTCTTATCGGGAAGGTCATTTGTTTCTTCTCTCATTTTCCACCTTACCATGCACAAATGGGGCCTATCTTGAGGATTTCTCCTCCCTGGATTCCCTGGATCTGTCCTGGCCATGGACTTCCCCAGAGCATACACATCAGTTTCTCACTCACCTACATGTTCCCACACCACTTTGGAGTCGACTACTCTGCCTCTTTCATCAGAACAGATACTACCTAAGATGAGCCCAGATCCATAGTTGTGTTGCCACAGTCAGACCTACTATATACATGCCACTTCCTTAAGAGAATGTGAGGATAGCTACCGTCACCCTGCAATCTTGAGCCCTTAGATGACAGACACATGCCAGGACCTCAAGGCAATAGTTCTGCACAAAAAGTTATAGTAAAATGACTAACAAAAGGTTTAGGTCCTAGCCAGGCATGGTGATGCATACTTTTAATCCCAGCACTCAGGAGGCAGAGGCAGGTGGATCTCTGTAAGTTCGAGGCCAGCCTGGTCTATACAGCAAATTCTGGGCCAGCTAGAGCTGTCTAAAAAGATTTACATTACGAAGTCAAGGTGAAGCTGGCTGGAAAGCAGGAGCACTTAAGAACATATGCAGCTTCACACATGACAGCTCTGCTCCAAGAACCCTGACAATGTTGTAATCACAACTGATTCCCAGGGGTTTCAGGGATGTGCAGCAAGAGTCTAGAGCATGTGCTTTCAGAGGCTCAAAGCACACTCAGCCAAGACTACTCTGTAACCAAGTAGCCTCTCAGAGGCAGCAGAAAGGCTTCTTACCCAGTGATGCTGCACATCTGCACATTTCCATGAAGGTAAGGAGCAGAGACTAACAAAAGCACATGGCAGAACCTCCTACTGAAGTCAACAAGGATCGCCATTTCCTACCTCCCTCCATGTGTGAATCCCCAAATCTTAACCCTTAAAAAAATATGGGAGGCACTCAGAGGGCCAGGCCAGGAAATAAAGAAGCAAGAAGCCCTGTTAGGACTGAAAAGGAGGGTGGCTACAGCTGCAGACTAACTTTCATCAGTCTCAGGGCCAAGGGTGCAGGATCCAGAGATCCTGGTAAAGAAAACAGGGGCTGCCCACCTCACTTCCAGGGCATGCTTCTGTCCTCTGACCGGCACTGGGAGCACTCCTCCCATGCCAAGCTGTAAAATGGTAACTTTTCATGACCTAGGACACAGGGATGGGCCACATGCCACTTGCCACCGCTGCAGAGAGAGAAGATGCCCAGGTCTGTGAGTACTCTCAGCACATCAACAAGCCTACACGGGGCCACTCCTCAAGATTTTCCTTCTCAGCTACACTAATTTCCCAACTCTCAGCTCAGAAGCTCTCAGAGGTGATGATTCACTACAACAGCAGCGGTTCAGGCAGGGCCTGTGTCAGAATGTCAGAACAGCACAATAAAGGACAGACAGTATCGACAGGAGAACCAGCAGCAAGGACAGTAGCAAGAACCTTCAATTGCTTCTACTGAAGACACAGGTGAGGCTCAGATCCAAGGAGGATGTGCACGGGTCAAAAAGTTCTGGCAAAGAGCTGGCGAACTGCCATGTTTGCAAGTTAGGTGCCACACCTGTTTCTGTACACATAGCTGTAGTAGGACACGGCCAAACTTATCCATTTCTCCATCTCCCTGCTGCTTTCTCATCACCGGGGTAGAGACCTTCTGACCACAAAGCCTACACTGTTTACTCTCTGACATCTGAGGAAGTTTGCCAATCCCAGCTAGAGGATCAAAGAACAATGTGTATCTGCCCATTAGGCACATCTGTCTATTAGAAAACTGCTGCAATGTTGGCCTGCACAGCAATAAAATAGACCAAAGGAAAAGCAGTAACAGCTGCCAGTCAGAGCTCTCCCTGTGTGTCAGCATCACCTGCACAGCACCTGAAGAGCAGGCCCAGGACCCTGAGACAAATAGTAAGGCTAAGGCTCAAAAGGGAAGGTCCTCAGCCTGAATAGGCCCCATCACACCTGTCTGGTCATGCCTGGTCCCACTTCTGTTCATGCTAAAACAGCCACGGTAAGAAAGCCTAAAGACAGGAAGAGAGGAACCCGACAGCCCAGCTGATTCTGAATTGAGTAGGGCTGTCAAAAATGGGAGAAGAGGCATGAGGGAGAACACATAAAAAGGGAACAAGAAAAGCTGCCATTGGGCTGGAGAGATGGCTCAGCAGTTCAGAAGACTGGCTGTTCTTCCAGAGGTCCTGAGTTCAATTCCCAGCAACCACATGGTGGCTCACAACCATCTGTAATGAGATCTGGTGCCCTCTTCTGGCCTGCAGGGATACATGCAGGCAGAACACTGTACATATAATTAAGGAAGCAAGCAAGCAAGGAAGGAAGGAAAGGAGGGAGGGAGGGAAAGAAAGAAAGGAAGGAAGGAAGGAGGGAAGGAAGGAAGGAAGGAAGGAAGGAAGGAAGGAAGGAAGGAAGGAAAAGAAAAGGAAAGGAAAGAAAAGAAAAGCTGACATCAGATGCCTTGAGAGCTGGTGCTTGCTACTTGCTACAGAAAAGTATTTAGGGCAGTTCATGCCACTACATTTATGAATCGCAGCACATCAAGAACTGTGGTCCCTTAAAAGGGATGGTTTGCACATCAGGCTGTACCATAGGACTGCCACATAAACACCAACTCACATCATTGGCCTTGTCCTATGCTCTGGATGCTTTGCATACACTTGCCTCTCCTCCAGACAGCCTGCCTTCCCTCAGCAAGAGCTCCAAGGACATCTCAGCCAAATGCAGTATGAACAAATGAATGTGTATATACAGCTGTACATACAACCAGTCTCTCTCCTTACCACACATGACATGTAAAACACATTCCCCTGGCAACTTCTCTTTTCTCTGAGGTCACCTTATACCCTTGGTTCCAGTACTGAACTGCACCCATCCTGATTACTCTGTGACTGAGGGTGACAAGCATTCTACTCCAGAAGTGCGCCCAGAGACTGCTTATGAATGGCATCTGTAGAAGGTAAGCCAGAGCTACAGGGAGAGAACTGAGACCCCAGGTTTGTTTGTCTGGGCTTTTGAAAGAGGGTCTTTCTACACGGCCCTGGTTGTCCTGGATCTTACTATGTAGACCAGGCTGTCCTCAAACTAGCAGAGATCCACCAGCCTGGGATTAAAAGTATGTGCCACCACACCCAGCAGGCTGAACTTTTCAGTGGGAAGTGTTTCATGCCTTACACTGCTTTAATTTCCAAAAACTGGCATAAGGCACACCTTAACTTGTCTTCTGCTGCTCTCCTCACTGACCCTGTCAGCCCCAAAAGCACCATCTATGAATGCATCAGGCACCTAGCACATGAGTCTCACTGTGTTTACACCGGCTCTTTTGGGACAGGCAGACATTCATCCATTTAATCACTGTGCTATACACAGTGAGTCTCAAAAAATACTCAGAACACACTTGTCCCTAACAAACCCACTATTCTAATTACTGTCTTGTTTTCTTTGAAATAGGGTCTCATGTAGTCCAGGCTGAACTTGAACTCCTGATCTTCCTGTTTCCAAAACCTCCCAAGCACTGGGATTACAGGTATATGATACCATGCCCAGCTTCCTGGTTAATTTTTGTTTGTGTGTGGGGCATACATACATTTTGGTATATGTGGACACATATGTGGATACACATGCTCACATGTGTTGGCAGAGGTGAGGGCAACACTGAGGGTCTTCCCCCATTGTCCTCTAACTTATTTTCTGAAGCTGCGTCTCTCACTGAACCAAAGCTCATCAACTGGTTAGACTAGCTGACACGCAAGCCCCAAGGATCATCCTCTGTTCATTCCTAACCCTAGTGCTGGGGTCATAGGTACATGCAGCCACAGCTGGCTTTTTATGTGAGTGCTGGGAATCCAAATTCAGTTAGTCACGCTGGCATGGCAAACACTTTGCCAACTAAGCCATCTCCCAAGATCTGTTCTACTTTGGAGGGAGGGAAAGGACAGAATAAAACTTTCAGGTCTCTAAACTATAGCTAAGTTTTTTCTTTTAAATTACTATAAAAAAGACTGCCTTCTACTTACAATTGTTGAAGCAGGTGGTAAGGACTTGGGGGTCATTATGCATTCCATTTTTTAAATTAAAAACCTAACAACAAATTTTAAATAGATATAAACAAGAGCACATACAAAGACACAAGGACTGAAGACACACAATTTCAGTTACTTCAGGGGAATAAGAATCCCTCAAGTTATCCTGGGATTACTTACCCATAAAGAGGTCCATCATTGCCGATAGCAGAAACCATGATTACATTGTTAGCTGTTAATTCCCACACCTACAAAATAACCAAGCATTTTGTTAATGAATGCTACTATCAATAGGTCACTGTCCCACAAACTGTGGAACTTCTCCAAGTATGCCCAAGAAAACAGTCCCCTCTAAGGCAGTGGTAGGCCCTGTGGGATGGGCACATGGGATAAGGTTTTGGAGGACAACACAATAAACCTGGGGCTGGACAATGCATAGCACACTGGCCCAGTGGCCGGGCTCAGGAAAACAGAGTGCAGGTTTAAAAGAAAGGCATCAAGACACCAGGGAGGTTGGGCTGGAGAGATGGCTCAGAGGTTAAGAACACTGGCTATTCTTCCAGAGGTTCTGAGTTCAATTCCCAGCAACCACGTGATGGCTCACAGCCATCAATAATGAGATCTGGTGCCCTCTCCTGGCGTGCAGGCATACACGGAGGCAGAATGTTGTATACATAACAAATAAATAAATCTCTTAAAAAAAAAAAAAAGCCAGGGAGGCAGCAATGCTCCTTAAAAATACCTGCTCCCAGGCCTCTAGCTCACTGGGTTGTGACATGCAAGTTTCTGACGTTCATGTCATTAACCCTGTTTCACAAAGCTGTCATTACCTCAGCAGAAATGACATACACTTCAGGTACAAAAGCACAGGTGCTGTCACCCAACATACTGCCCTTGCACAGTGACTTGACCAACCTTGTCAACAAAGGGATGATCCATGAAGTCAGGCCCGCCGATGCTAAGGTTTAGAACGTCAATCTTCTTTAGGATGGCATAGTTGAAGGCGTCCAAAAACCAAGATGTGTAAGACACCTGGTTAAATCGAAACAGTCCTCTGAGGGCCTCAGCAGAAGTGTAAAGAGCTATGACAGCTCTGGTTTCTAAGGACAAGCACATTCTTCAAAGCATGGGGACAAATCCCAAGTAAAAATGCTTTAGAATGTAAACATTACACCCACAAACTAAGTCCTTGAACTAAACCCAAAGAGGAGGACTGTGCTGTATGCTGTGTCTCTCCTCAGGGGGCAACAGGCAACTGTCTACTTCATAGCATGCCTTCTAGGACCAATCTGAGCTTCTAACTGCCTCATAACAGGACCCATTCTAAGACACTGCTGTCATGTTAAGCATTTCTACAGTTTAAGGCATCTGTCTAACACCCCTCAGTCCTAAAAAGACTGAAGGACAAACAGGAGCAACCACAGTCACTTCACAGTATCATGTCACCAGTATTCAGCACCCTCTACTTTCCTTATGTAAACTACACTGCTTTTTGAAATACTACTTCTGTTTTTTGATTGTTTGTTTTTCACACATAAGCTAAGCCAGGTATAGTGGCTCACAGCTGTAATCCAGGCACTTAAGAAGGTGCAGCTGGAAGACTGCTCTGAGTCTGAGGCCAGCCTGGGCTACACAGTGAGTTCCAGACTAGTCTGGAACTACAGAGTAAGACCCGTCTCAAAAGCAAAAACAAAAAACCAAACAACAACAAAAACACAAAACAAAGCTCACAGTGGGCAGAGTAGTACAGTAAGGAAAAGTATTTTGAAAGGCTTTCTAAAAAAGCTAAACTGCATGCTGATATGCAAAAGAAATCCTAAGAGGCAGCATAGGCAGCAAAGAACTATGGGGAGTTAGCGGAAAGCCACTGGAAGGAACAGGTAGGTGTCATCACTGTGCTTCTTTTTGATGTGCTGGAGCTCAAAAATAAAATTTAAAAATAAGGGCTGGGGGAGTGGTGGGGGGTGGGGCGGTAGGCAGTACGAGAGATGGCTTAGAGGTTAAGAGCACTGGCTGCTCTTCCAGAGGTCTCAAGTTCAATTCCCAGCAACCACATGGTGGCTCACAACCATTTATAACGAGATCTGGAACCCTCTTCTGGCATACAGGCATACATGCAGTCAGAACACTTAATAGATAATAAACAAATAAATCTTTAAAAAAAATAAATAAATAAGGGCTGGAGAGATGGTTCTGAGTAGTGACCATTAGTGTCAACCGTAAATTTGAAGAATCTAGAAACAACTGCGATATGGGCCTATGGCCATGCCTGGGGTAGGGGTTATCTTGATTATATTAATTCACATGGGAAGACCCATTTTAATTGTGTGTGGGTCCACAGGGCAGAGCACTCAGGGAAAAAACAAAGAGCACTAGTCTGCATTCACTGCTCTTCTGCTTTGTGATTATGGATCCTTGTGATCAGCTGCCTCAAAGTTCCTGCCACCCAGATTCCTGATCATGATGAACAAAACCTTGAACTGTGAGCTAGAATCAATTCTTTTTCCATTAAGTTGCTTTTGACAGAGTATTTTGTCACAGCAACAGGAAAAAAAATTAAGAGGGTCAAGCACTTGCTATGCAAACATGAATGAGTTTGATGCACACATAAAAATCTGGATGTGGTAGTGCATGCTTGAAATCTCACAACTGGGTAGGCAGATCCCTGGAGCTTTTTTGCCACCCAGACTAGCCTAATGGACAAGTTCCAGTTATCTGAACATGGGCCTACATGTTTAAACTGGATCCTATAGCCTGAATGAGGTCAGGCCTCCCTGCAACTTGCTCTAGAACAAAGTTAAGCAATCTATGCTGTGACTTGACAGCTCTCAATTTATGGTACCAAGCTCTTTGTTTTGTATGCTACAGTGAACTAAATCACATGATATGAAACTTACTGCCAGCTTGATAATTTCTTTGTTCTTGGGATGTGCTAATTATGGGAGTGCTTAAAAGGCTGCTTTCTAAGGAGGCTCCTCTGGCCTCCACCCCACCCCTAGTAGTGATCTCCCCCTTTTCCCTCATCTCTCTTAGTCTCTTAACAATATTGCTCTGCAGGCCTTAAAGGGAAGAATCTCTTTCCTTCTAAGGTCCCATAATGCTTAGATCTCTATAAACTGTACTGTTTCTGTCTAATGCTCTCTCTCCCACAAGGTCCTTTCCCCTAATTAATGGCATCTTATGAAGGGACTGTGTTTCAGTCCCTTCCTGGACCAACTGCTACTGCTCTTCTCTCTATTTAGTACCAATAAGAAATCCTGTCTCAAGAAACAAGGAGAAGTTGGGTGTGGTGATGCATGCCTTTAATCCCAGCACTCAGGAGGCTGAGACAGGAGAATCTCTATGAGTTCATGAGTTTGAGACCAGCCTGGTCTACATAATAAGCTTCAGGCCAGCCAAGGAAAGACAGTGAGACCCCGTCAAAAACAAAACAAAATAAAACAAAAAACAAGGTGGATGGTGTTCAGGCTGACAGATAGCCTCCACACACAAACACACATAAATGAGTATCACAAATAACACACACACACACACACACACACACACACACACACACACACACACACACACGCATACAGTAGCCTCTTCCTGTTTCCAGACGAAATGAGTAAATAAAGCTGTAAACCTTAGGTGCTGGGATACTAGGATACAGAGGTCAGCAACATAGTCCCCCTTCTCCAACAGTGGGAACTAAATGGTGGTGGGGGGTGGGGGTGGGGAGTATGTAAGCCATGAACATGCCATTAGTCCATCATGGAAGACCTAGACAGTAGCCCGAGTGTCCAGGCAAGCCTGATTGTGAAAGACAAACAGATCAAGGAACTACATTAGCCTTGGAGGAAGGTCAGTCATCAGGACTGGGGAAGGCTGATGAATGCAGTGTTGGGGGAAGGACACACAGAAGACAGGACATGTGAGGCAGTGAGGCACACATGACAATGAGGAAGGCTGTTACTGCAGTGTGCCATTTGTAGTGGCTGTACAACAGTGCTTTATGTCATACCTCAGCTCTGACCACTCAAATGTTTCAAGGCCCCTCAAGCACCTACCTGATTGTTGGTAAAGACCCTGAAGATGTGCAGCTCTGCATCTGGGGCAAATCCCTGGCACTCCCTCATGCTGGCAATCACACCGGCGACAAATGTGCCATGGCCCAGCCCTGCAGCCACAAAAAAGGAAGTCCCATGAGACAGCTGAGGATGCACAACGAAGTAGAACACTCCAAACCAACGACCACACACTCCTGGTCTTGGAAACACGAGCAGCCTCTGCCCCTCACACTCCTGACACCACTGTTCCTATTCTCCTTTGTGGGCAACTCCACAGGTAACCTTTCTCAGCATGTACCTCCTTCTCTCCCAGCCTCTACTTCCCCACATCATCTGAGAGGCTCAGCAAAGCTTCTTAGTACTTGGGCTTGTCTGTGCAACCACAGGGTAATTCACAAGTACTGCCTCCAGACCCAAGAGCCTTGCCCTCATCTGACTGGGACCTACCATCATCCAGGGTCCGCTCATTGGTCCAGTTGGTTCTCTCCTTCACATTCTTGAAGTGTGGATGCTTCTCACTGAGCCCAGTATCAAAAACAGCAACCCTGACATTAGCACCTTATCCCAAAAAGAGGAAACAACAAACAATCATATTGGGAGAAATAATCTTTCTTGATTTTTACCCACAAAACACCGTTCCTTTGAAGGAGCCACAGAAACAGGAAATCAAGGGCAGGCCCCTGGGATAGGACACAGTTCACAGGTTAAGTTCACACACTAGTGAAGACAGAGCTGTTTTGCTCTCTTCAGCAAAGGAAAGGGACTCTCACTGATTCTGAGTTTCATTGTGTAAGACACGGTGTTTCCTGAATCAAGTGGCCAGCTAGTGGGATGATCCCTCAGTTGCTCCACAGTTACAATTAGTAAATATGACTAACTGTCCAAATCCAGGTGTCCATCTTTGAATGCTATCACCTTCCTAGAAAAATGCAGCTTTGCAGATGCGATGTGGTACTGCAGCACATGACGACAGCCATGGGCTATGAGTTCTGCTGTTTTGTGTAGTATCAACAGGAAAGCAATGTTCAAGCCCAAGGTCCTGCATTCCATTCCCAGGTCCCACATAGTAGGAGAGAAGAGACGCCTACAAGTCAACCTCTGACCTTAACATGCACACCATGGCATATATTCACACACACATGTACATATGAACTTGTGTATATGTGCACACACACACACACACACACACACACACACACACACACACACACACGCACGCATTCCTATACATACATACACATGTACTTGTGTTCAAGCACATACACACAAATTTTTAGATGTGAAACAGATGCTGGGCTCAAGAGGCAAATACCAGGAAAGTTCACTGTACCCAGCTCATACACGGTAAGAAGGAATAGAAGTATTTGTTGGCAGAGCTGTGGCAGGACAACCCAGCAAACTGCCTCCCTGGATGCTGACTGTCCAAGTCCCTGGTCTGCAGTACACACCTGTGTATCCCATCTGCCACAGCACATCTGCCTGCAATGTCTGGGCAACCTGGCGAGGAATGGCTCTCAGCAATCGCCGACTTGAATGTCTTCCTGTGGCATGCCAGAATCCAGAGCCCAGGGAGAGGCTGGCTCTTCTCAGTGGTCGTGATGACTGCCACTTCTGACTCCACCGGGTTTCATTACATGGCACAATGGGGTCAGCTGGAGTCAAGGAAGAGCATGATCAGAGACCACGAGGACAAGTGCACACACTGTGCTCTAAGGCAAGGCCACCCTGAACTCATGTTTCAGGACTTTCCTCAAGGCAATCACAACTATGGGACAGTATTTAGTTGCTATATTATACCCAAATGACTTAGAATTCTGTAACCAAGGGAAGGCAGAGAAAGACTTACAGTGACTTTTACAGAAGTCCTGCTGGGGGTCACCATAATAGACAACGTAAGCCCAGCACTAGCAAGACTGAAACAGGAGGGTCACGAGTTTAAAGCCACCTAGGCTATACTACAAAACTCTGACTCAAATAAATAAACCTTTTGTGACACTGAAACACTAAAGATAAAAATCATTCTCACCAGTGGCCTGCCCTCAAGAGGCCAGAAAAAAAGGGAAATGACCCAAGAGCTGGCCATTGGAGGATCAGCAGGTTTTAAAGGAAAAAGCTGCTTTACCTCACTGAACATACCTCTGGCCAGACTTTAGCAGGGACTTTAAGCTATGTACTGCCCAAAACTCAGAGATTTTCTTACCTTTTCCAGTTTCCCCTTTCAAGAACTGAAAGAACCAGGAGGGCGAGAGGAGGGTCTGAGGCAAGAGAATACTCTGGACCTATTTTGTGTACTTTTGCTAAGATCTGTCAAATTGTACACTTAAATGATGAATTTTAATACCTGAAAAATCCCTTCATTAAAAAATAAAGGAAATAAAAGTAAAAGTAAAATGAGTTTTCATTTTACCTCTCAAAGTCTATGTTATAATAAAAAACAATCGTATTTTAAAAAACAATTTCATTTATTAGTGTGAGGAGGCACTTATAACTTTGAGTCAGTTCTTTCCTTCTACCTTTACATGGGTCCCAGGAATTGAACACAGATTGTCAGACTTACACGGCAAGCACCTTCACCCCCTGAGCCACCTTGCTAGCCCTCAAATCAGTTTTAAGAACAAGCCTGTACTACTCCTACGGTACTAGCTCTAAAGCATATGACTCTCATTGTTCTCAAGGCTTTCAGGCTATACCCATGAAAAGTTGGGACGTGGAAAAAAAAAGGCTGCTAACTCCATGAAGCAACTGTCTCTAAAATGACAGTCCAATTCAAATTTATCTGCACTGAGTTTCCCAGGTGACGCTAGTCTTTCAGTCAACAGCAGGGACAATCCCAGAGATACTGTGTAAGAACATTTAGATGATGGGAACAGTCTGCTCTGCTTGACCTTAAACAGAACAGAGCACTCAAATAAATAAATAAATAAATAAAATAGTGAGGGATACAGACCATGTCATATGACTAACCACTGAAAGAACTGGGAATCACTGGCTTGGACAGAAGAAACTGATAAAAAGAACAGCAAGATCTCTGCAAATAACAGAGATGATGTCTCGTCAGGGTGACTATTGCTGTGATGAAACACCATGACTAAGCAACTTGAGGAAGAAAGGGTTTATTTCAGCTTACACTTCAGCTAACAATCCATCACCAAGGGGAGTCAGGACAGAAACTCAAAGAGGCAGAAACCTGGAGGCAGGTACTGATGCCAAGGCCATGGAGGGGTGCTGCTTATTGGTTTGCTCAGCCTGCTTTGTTATAGAACCCAGGACTACCAGTTCAGGGGTGGCACCACCCACAATGGGCTGGAATCTCCCACATCCGTTATCAATAAGAAAATGCCCTACAGGTTTGCCTGCAGTCTGATCTTATGGAGGCATTTCCTTAATTGAGGTTCCTGAGGAGTCTCAGGTGACTTTAGCTTGTGTCAAGTTGACATAAAACTAGCCAGCACAAGTGGACATCTTCATGATGTCATTAATATCTCATATGGAAAGATGTTAGCTTTGTCTTAGGGCCAGTGGAGAGAACCCAATGAGATCCAAAGCAAGACAGACTTCAGCCAAACATCAACATCAAGTAAAACCTGAGCTCCAGTGCTACCACATGCTATGAGCACACTGCTAAGCACTGCACTCTGGCACTATTTCACTTCCTCCTCTGAGAACCAGTGAAGTGATGGTCAGTACCTCTCTATGTTAGGAGAGAAAATGAAGCTTCTAGTGAAAAGGAGCTTCATGCTCAAGGTTGTAGCTAGCCACAACACAGTACAGACACTGCAGAAAGGAACCCCGTAAGAATGGCCTAGGCATCATGGCTAGAATCAGGCAACTCTAAGTTTCCAAAAACATTCTAGAGTTCTCAAAGGCGAAAGAACCAAAATGAACAGGAAGCTGAATAAAATGACAGTGTATGCACCTGGGTAATTGTACCAAGTTTGATCTGGTTTTCCTGAGTTGTTTGGGCATTGCTGCTCTTTAAGGAGAAAAAGATACAAGACATCTGGGATAACAGGCCAGGCCCTTAAGAAATCAGACCCAAAGTCTGCAACTGACTCAAAATCCTGGTCTGCTGCACTGCAGAGGTCAGCTTTTCCAAAGACAGCACAACCTCAGAGGCTCTGGAGCCTAGTATATAACAGACAAAGCAGTGAGAATAAAATGTTCTTTATTTAGCCTGCCCAATAAAACAAACAACAGGGCTGGAACTGGAACTCAGTTGGTAGAATACCTGCCTAGCACTCAGAAGGCTCCAAGTTTTGTTGGTAGCACCACTTAAAACTGGGTGGGATGGTGAGGGCCTATAATCCCCACACTTCAAAGGTGGAAACAAAAGTATCAGAAGTTTAAGGTCACCCTGGACTACACAGTAAGTTCTGGGTCAGCCTTGGCAGTGGTGGTGCACATCTTTAACCCCAGCACTTGGGAGGCAGAGCTAGGAGGATCTCTGTGAGTTCGAGGCCAGCCTGGTCTACAGAGCAAGATCCAGGACAGGCACCAAAACTACACAGAGAAACCCTGTCTTAAAAAACTGAGCCGGGCGGTGGTGGCGCACGCCTTTAATCCCAGCACTCGGGAGGCAGAGGCAGGCGGATCTCTGTGAGTTCGAGGCCAGCCTGGACTACCAAGTGAGTTCCAGGAAAGGCGCAAAGCTACACAGAGAAACCCTGTCTCGAAAAACCAAAAAAAAAAAAACAAAAACAAAAAAAAAAAAACTGAAAAAAAAAAAGGAAAGAAGGACAAAAGAAATGATAGCAAATTATTAAAGTTAGCAGTGTGCTAACCTGGTTTGAGAAAAGAAAAAATGTTCCCCTGGTGGCACCAGGTCCTCTATAATACAGAAAGCACTACATTAAGTTTGTAGTTTGTTACTTGGGGATGGATTCTACCTCCAAAAGCCCAACTGTAGCAAAACTAGGCCCAAGAAAATGAGAGCCAGACTCCACAGGCTCACACCCAAAGGCCTGCCAGTGCCCATAGATTACAAGGGTGTGCTGCAACATCCACCTCTGGTCCTGGTCAGGGAGCTCAGAGGGAAACAAAACAAAGCCCAGGAAAAAGATCTTTTGCAAGAGGGCTATAAAGATGAAAACATGCACTCAAAAGGAGCAAAACCAAAGTACAGAGGAGACCCAAAGACAAGGTCTACACAAGAGTATGGTGGCATACCTCTACAATTCCAGCATTTGCAAAGAGGAGGCAAGAAAACTGTCTCAGTTCCAGCCTGGTTACAGAGCAAGATTGGTTTGGGGTTTTGCTTTTTGGGTTGTTTTTTTGTTTTTTGTTTTTCGAGACAGGTTCCCCTGTGTAGTCTTGGCTGTTCTGGAATTCACTACGTAGATCAGGCTGGCCAAACTCACAGAGATCCACCTGCCTCTGCCTCCTGAGTATTGGGATTAAAGGCGTGTACCACCAGCACCTGGCATTTAAAAAGAAAAAAAAAAAAGCCAAGACTTTCCACTCAACACACAAAGGGCTGGTAGACTGAAAGTCAGAAGAGTCCCAGATGAACACAGAAACCAGCTTCCACAGAGATACAGGTCACCACCACGGTCCACTACAGACCCTCAGTGTTCCTCCCAAGACAGCACGAAGCCGCTTTTCTCAAGAAAATGCTGTCCACTGGGGATGGCAGTGCATGCCTGCAATCACAGCACTTTGGAGGTGGAGACATGAACACAGGTAAGGTCAGGTGTTCAAGGCCAGCCTCAGCTTCAGGAATTTGAAGCCTGAGCTACAGGAAACACTGTCTCAGAAAACAAAACAAGGAAATTGCCTGTCAGGACAACATTCTCCACTGGAGAACTGTGAAAAAGGACACAGGTGTCTCCAAATCTGCCTCAGCGACTCTGTGGTGAAAGCCAAGCAGTGGTGTGGCCTGTGCTCACCATACTTACACTCAGCAAACTTCAGGGAACGAAAGACTTTCCGCTGAGGTGTCACCCGCTTGATGTTTGGATGATCCTCAAGTGTGAGCAGCCCGGCCTTCTGCTTCTCTTTGATCTGAATCACCTCAAAATCACTAGGGTAGTCACTGGATGGGTTGTTCCGAGGTATAATTCTCCAGTTGTCCACTTCACTGCTTTTCAGAGCACTTGAAATAAATGAGTTTCTAGCTTTGGCTGTGAAGTACCCGTTGAAAGCCACAATATATTCTGAAATCAATGGCCACAGTAAAGTAAGTACTTACATACATAACATAGAGTATACCTAATTTGAATCTTCACTGGCAAAAGAACAATGTACCTCAAAAGCCCAGAGCAAAATAAGAGTAAGCAGAAAAATAAGTGTAAAATGCCGTAGGCACCCAGATAGTGGTGGCAATCGCCTTTAATTCCAGCATTCGGGAGGCAGAGACAGACAGATCTCTCTGAGTTCGAGGCCAGCCTAGTCTACAAAGTGAGTTCCAGGACAGCCACCAGGGCTACAGAGAGAAACCCAGTCTCAAAAAACAAAAACAAAAAAAGCTCTAGGCAGCAGTATTCAGAGTTCTGGGTAAAGCTGACTTACATGAATCTTAATCACACAAAATACACAGTTCAAACCCAGACACCTATGTATTTTTTAAAATGTAAGTATGGGTCTAACGAGATGGCTCAGTAGTTAAGCTCTTGCAGAGGACCTGGCTTCAGTTTCCAGTACCCAAGTTAGGCATCTCACAACCACCTATAACTCTAGCTCCAAGGGATCTGATACCTCTAGCCTCCATAGGCACCTACACACGTGTATATATCCACATACATATATAATCAAAATACACCTTAAAAAATATAAACGGGGGGGGGGGGGGGGGGGTTGGAGAGATAGCTCAGTGGTTAAGAGTGCTTACTGCTCTTAGAGAGGACCCTGGGTTCAGTTCCCATGACCCACACAGTCGCTCACAACCATCTGTAACTCCAGTTCCACAGGATCTGAAACTCTCTTCTGGCTTCCACAAGTGCCAAGCACGCATGTGGTCCACAGACACATATGCAGGCAAAACATTCATCCACATACAATGTTTGTAAATTGAAAACAAAATAAAATAAAACCCCCCTATCTACAGAAATCTGACTACAGTAAAGAAGGGTAGTTCTCCAACAGAGACAGGAGTTCAGGGAATGTGTGCGGCTGTTTGTTCTACAGAAAGTGAAGATAAAGATCAGATCGAGTCACATATTTCCGGCTCAGCCCTTCGCCTGGGGCTTGACTTCCAAAGTGATGCTAAGCACCTACATCAGCATCCTCCCAGCTGTTGTACACAGTCAGTTCTACTCCATTACTTAACACCTTAAGCAAATGTTAATGCCTACATGGTGCGCACTCATTCCATTTGAAATTTACCACAGAAGTAGAACGGAAGCTAATATTTATATTAAGTTTGAAAACAAAGATGGGAGGGTCCAGCACTGAAGACAGTTCATTACCATATTCCACCACAGTTGAGGAGAATTCCACCTTCAAAGTCAGGTGGGAACAGCTGGGGCATGGGGCCTTTTCAAAAGCTTTCTTCCCCAGCCTGTCACCCAGATGCTTCTTCCCACAGAGCAAAACCACCAGCAGAAGAAGCCAGATGTTGATGAGCTTCATGGTCCTAAGTGAATATGGTTATAAAATTGCATAAATTCAAATCGCACTAGGTTCTTCCTTGATCAGAAGTGAATTTCTGTTTTGGCTAAAAGCTGCAACCTTACTGATGAGCCATCCTACAGACTTGTCCAACGTAAAGAAAACCTCAGTCCCATGGTCACCCACAGCTTGGCCCAAAAAGAGGCTTTCATTTCTTTCTCCGCTTCTTCTCCATCTTGGACAGGGGCTTCTCTCATTAGGGCAGAGTCGACTGAGTCCTAAACTCCATTTGCACACAGACCCAAATCTAGCGGGGACGCCCAAGCAACCACTCCGTGAGCCGATCTGAAATAAAAACAGCACACAGAGACATCAGAAGCATCCCGATCAAGCCAGATATGACAGTAACAGCTGTAATCTAAGTGGAAGGATCAGACACCCCAGTCACAAAACAGACAAATGAGAATATAACACAAAGTCCCTGCTCTTGTTTAGATTTACTTACACCTCACTGCTTTCCTGGAAACATTTCAAGACAGCTCTTCATGAAGTAAAGGGAGAACAAGTGAGGAAAATGAAGAGACTAAGGACAACAGCTAAGCAGAGGGGCACGAAGCAGGCCAGCCTCCATCCCTGCAGCTAGAAAGGAAAAAGAAAAGCCATCCTTCCCGTGCCACCCTCACTTCTGCTTCAGACTGTGCTTCCTGACATGGGTAGCTCTCCACAGGCCAGGGCATGGTGCCAATCAGCATCTACAAGTTTTCAGTCAAAAGCATAGTTATAGGACCTTATTTTCTGCTGTAAATTATACCTAAGTACTAACTATTATCTAGCCAAGTCATTTTAATAGGTTCTTTAAGAGACACTGCTTAAATGTACTCATATTTTAAAATATTTTCTGCCAATTTTATGAAAAGGGTACAGACGTTTTCTGCAGCCATTAAATTTATTTTACCTGAAACGTCAAACTTAAATTAAACCAGTTTAATCTATTATAAAATCAGACTAGCCCTTTACTGGAAGTGGAATAGAGAACAGTTTGTGAAGCAAGCTATTTCTAAAGAAAGTATTATATTTGAGTATAAAATTTCTCTTAGGCTCATCTCTCTCTCAAAATATTTAAAGTATAGGAGAACAGCTGTTCTTCACAACAGCGGCAGCAAGAGCTGAGTGCCACAGCATGACCAGCAAATGCAGCTCACCATCACATCTGAGGGGAACAATCCAGCCAGGGAAGGGGACATGGAACAAGTCAGGCCCTTGTATTGTCATGAAAGAAGAGGAAGAAAAACAAAAAACAAAAAACAAAAACCAGACACCATCAACCAAGATGAGTCGGTTAAATTCATCCTTCTGGAAGAAACTCGTCCTTTAGAGTAATAAAGAGGTTTTGGTTTCGGCAACTGCCTGTTGGTCCTTCTAAAACAGGAAGGGGATGAAACAGGACTGAGGGAGAAGGACCTAAACAGCTGCTTAAACTTCACCAGGAGGACCTTTACTGCTGCACTACCCAACAGTCTGCAAAACCAGCCAGTCTAGAACCCACACCAGAGACTGGGGCTGCTGGGATGTACTCAGAGGAGAAATAACGATGTCTATCTCAACAGAAGGACAGTGAGAATGTCAACCACAAGAGCAAAAAAGTAAAGCAAAGACCCCCTAGAAAGACCAAAGGTCAGTTAAGCCACCTTACACACTCTGCAGAAGCCAGAAGCCCTATCAGGGCTATCAGGGAACAGAGTCTCAGAGAACGGCCCTGGTCAAAGAATATATAGCCAGTCACTGAAGTAATATAATAGTTCTAATGCTGTAGTAAGTGTGCACTTTACAAAAGGGGTTGGAGAGTTGCTCAGTGGTTAGAGCACTGGCTGCTCTTCCAGGGGACATGGGTTCGATTCCCAATACCCACATGGCAGTTTACAACTATCTGTCACTCCAGTTCCAAGGGATCCAAGGCCCTCTTCTGGCCTCCCTGAGCACTGCATATACATGGTGCATAGACACACATGAAGGCAAAGCACCTATACACATAAAATTTTAAAAATTAAAATAATCTCTTAAATCCTTCTGCCTTAAGAGAAAGAATCTATAAGCTAGTGTAGATATATATAATGTGAAAGTTAGTGAGCAATACTTGTGAGAGCATCACAGGCCTTACTGCAATAAATCACTTTCAACGATGTCCTTGATAACTCTCTCACAGGTAGACAGTCAATTTCTATTCTAATGTATTCTACGTAGAAGAGAGAGTTGATATTTACAAATTAGGCAGGGGCCTGATTCTCTCAAAACAAAGAAATGGAAAGGAACGAAATTAAGTTTTTCAAAAGAAAATAACCAGCCAAGCTTTGTGGCACAAGCATTTAATCCCAGCACTTGGGAAGCAGCGGCAGGAGACTCTGAATTTGAAGCTGGCATGATCTACAGAGCTAGTTCCTGGACAGCTAGGACTACACAGAGAAACTCATAAGGTAATCAACTCTACTCCAGTCAGTTCTGGGAAATAGGACAGACACACACAGACAGACCGACAGACAGACAGACAGACACACACACACCCAACATCACAGCACACTCTGCCTTTATTATTCACTATGCCATGCCATTTTATAGAATGCTTACCCAGTAAAATACTGCCAGGTGTTGGGGGAGGGAGGGGAGAGACAGAGACAGAAACAGAGCGAGAGCGAGAGCAAGCATGTGAGCAGGTCAGGGACACCGCTGTATGTGTGAGGAAGCAAAGGAAGGCAACCCCAACCAGCCACCAGGCCAAAGGCAGGAAAGGAAGGTATCAGAGTAGAGGTCACCTAAACTGAGACAGAGTCCCTTTAGGAGTGACAAAAGGAAGCTTTTAGTTGCACAGAAGCTGAGCTGGGGAGCTACATAAAGGCACTATGGAGGGAAAGTAGTGCATCCAGGGACAAGAACACAGAATATGCACAAGGACCAATTGGGCATCCTGTCTAAGGAGGAAGGGGATTGGTGCAGGACACTCCAGAATGCAGACATCAGCAGCCAAGAGGAGTGAGCACAGAGCCAGAGAACAAGGCTGCCGAGCAACTGCTCAGAGCTCTGCACTGTACAGGCAGGAGGGTCAGAGTACTGGATATGGCAGAAACCTCTGACCTCACAGAGCTTATCTTCCAGTGTGGGGATGCAGATAAGAAATAAGTAAGTGCAGCTTAGCTGACGGTAAGTACTGTGCTTGGAAAGCAGAGAAAGGAAGGAAACAGGACAGTTAAGAGGGATGCATCGCCAACTTGAGTGCCACAGAGGCCCAGAGAAGGGACCTTTAAGTGGACACCTACAGGAAGTAGTTTGGAGTGAATAGCAAAGGAAACAGGCCTGCATGGCTGAGCAGAATGCAGGAAGGGAAGGGAGGGGAGATGAAAGAACTGGGGACAGATCAGGGACAGCCCTGAACATCAGAGAGGACCTCGGTTCTTATTTCGAAAGGGAAGGGAAGACACAGCTGACCACTCAGGCTTCTAGGAGAAATGAATACAGGGGACAGGGGACCCAGTGGAGGATCATGGGTATAAATAACCCAGGGAGAGAAGATGCTGACTTGGACTTTAAGAATAAGAAGGTAGAGTCAAACTTTCCTGATGACCAGACGTGGGAGAGTGCAGGTGAGGAATCAAAGTCATAAGGGTAACTTTTGCCTCTGCGATGAAGACTAAATGGAAGCTGGCTCAGGGGAACACCCACATGGAAACTAAGTTGTGAACACCTCTGTTTAGGATGCTCATGGTGGTGGGGGGGTTCGGGAGGAGGGAAGCGAGGGGGATCTGTGATTGGTATGTAAAATGAATAAAAAGTGTCTTAATAAAAAATTAATTAATTTTAAAAAAGGATGCTCATCAACACTGGGAGGCAAATCCTGGGCCACCCAGCACCTCTTCTTTGGGGAACAGGAGAGACCAAAAGAAAGCCAAAATCAGACTTCCATAAGACAAGTCTGGCCACTGGATGAGTCTCCTGGCTAGTTTCGAGAGAGAGGGAGGGAGATGCTCAGCAGAGAAGGCCACTTGCTGCCAAGCCTGGCTACCTGAGCTCCACCCCTGGAGCCTACGTAACAGAAGGCGTGAAGCAACTCCCACATACGTCCTCTCTGATCTCCACACTAGTACCCATCCAGACACACAAAGGAACATGTTTTTAAAATGTTACTGATCTCTTCCAGAAAAAGGTCACACAAAGTGAACGAGTGGCCCCTGGTCTGACTGCACTCCACCAAGCCCCATCTACTCCAGAAACTTGCTGTCCACGCTCATAAGTGCTAGAAGGAAGTAAGGAAAGAAGGAAACCGCTTCAGGTACAAAGTCTCCTGGAATAAATGAACAAGCTGGAAATGACAGAAAACGAAAACAGCTTTGCTGTGTAGACCCAGGTAACCTGTTTATTGTCCTCAAAGGTGAAAAGTCCAGGCTTTTAAAGACATTACTGTGATGGGATGGGCCTGTGGTGGAAAACTACAGAGCCTGAGGTTTCTACAGGTTCCCAATCCTGGGAGAAGGCTCAAATCAGTTTCCTTTATGGCTTCTAATTCATGACTCGACTGTTAGAAGATAGTGCCTGGGGCCTGGCACAGAAAGCCAACCATTTACCACTAACCCCTGCGTTCTTAGGCCTGCGTGTTCAGAAAGATCCTAACCCACAGACATGTCCAGTGGGGCTTTTAAAAAACAGACTGTACTTTGAGAGCTGGAACAGACCTATTCACCTGTATCAACAGCCCATGGTGTCCAAGCTACAACCCCAAGTCAGTAAACAAGAGCCACAAGACATGCTCACTAGCTAGTGGCAAGCAGGAGCACATTAGTTAGACAGGTATGTGTACACAGGCTCACACACAGGGAGAAAGAAAGCTACTAACTTGTCCTTCACTTTCTGAGTTAGTATGCTGAGGACAAGGGAACCACAGAGAACCAGTTAGGGCTGGAGTCAGGCAGGTAAGAAAGTGTGTGAGAAGGCCACCAAAAAATAAGATGAATGAGCCATTCAGTATTGAGCGGCAATTGAAATGCTAGTAGGAACTCAAGGTTTTCAGATGTACTCACAGATTAGAAATAAACAAGTGCATATCTGAATACATACCCCATCACTAAGAGGACATAGCAGCAGTGCCTGCCACGTGTTGTACCCCCAAGAAGGAAGCCCACCTTGTGCCCAGATGGCTGAGTATTATTCTCCAGGGAAAGAAGCTGGGTTCCTTGAAGAACAGCTCAGGGCAGGTGGAGGGGGTGGGGGTGGGGTGGGACCAGATGAGACGACTGTGGAACCCCTTGTGCCAGACAGTGAAGCAGTGCTCACTGGGAGAATATGCCACCAGAAGCCAGGGT